TAAAACCAAAGAGTTCTGCCATTTTTTCACTGTTTGTCCTTTTTAGTTTGAAGCTTCTTTCGCAATTTCAAATATAAGACAGGAAAACTCAGAGTGTGCTGAAGAGTGGAATATGTTTCATAAATGAATGGACTTTCTGAAAAAATTAGATTTAACCAAAGAACTTTTTACTTCATTAAAGAATGGACACCCCCACATAAGTGCGGATGTCTGGTTACTGCAATGTACCTCTGTCTCATTGTGACAGGCATCAGGCAGCTCGGACAACCTTGTTTCCTTTCTGACTGAAAACACCAAGGTCACATGCCAGTTACCTATACTCTTTAAAAAATATTGTGTTTATTTATTTTAGAGAGGAAGTTAGGGAGAAAGAGAGGGAGAGAAACATTGATCAGCTACATCTCCTAGGGGCCCCAACTGGGCCCAAGGCCCAAGAGCCTGACTGGGAATTGAACCAGAAACATTTGGCTCTGCAGGAAGGTGCTCGACCAACTGGGCCATGCTGGCTAGAGCACAGTATACTCTTCATCTACCAGTGTATCTACAGCCTCAATCACTGCTATGTTTGCCAACTCAGAAAACAAACTCTTGTCTCTTTTACAAGTTAATCCTTCCATACACCCTCTAGATTTAAAGTAAATACCAATACCTTAATCATTTGGAACCATCTTCCCCCATCAGGTCACTTTCGCCTACAAAAACCTACTCAGGTCAGGTTCTCCTCATTACCTCTTTACACAAAACCCATCATTTTACTTTAAATACTAGATTTTTGTTATGGATTGAACTGTATGTTGAAGTCCTAATTCCAGGTGCCTGAGAATGTAACCTCATTTGAAAACTGGGTCTTTGCACATGTAATTAAGATAAAGTTAATCCATTATGAGTAGTGCCCTTATAAAAAGAGAAAACAGAAATACAAGGAAAGTCATGTGACAATGAAGGCTTTGTGATGCATGTACAAGTCGAGGAAGCAAAAGACTGCTGGCAACCACCACAAGGCCTGGAAAGTCTCCCTTGCAGGAGAGGAGAGGGGAGGGGAGGGGAGACCCTGCCAACATTCTGACTTCTAGATTCCAGAAGCCCAAGAGAGAGAAAACTACTACAATTATTATAAATTAATTTCTGTTGTTTTAAGGCAGCCACAAAGTACCACAAAGTTGTGGTACTTTGTAATGGTAGCTCTAGGAAATGAAATACAGTCCTTAATGATATTGTCAGCTCCTTCCTTTTTTTATCATTTTATAATTTAATGCTCTAGTCATTTGGCACATAACCCCCTCCAACTTACAGACACTAAAGGTTTTAAGTAACACCATTATGCCTACCCTCAAAAGATAATCCTCACAGTATTTTCTGTTCTTAGTCTTGCTCACTTCTTTGTAGTATTTAACACTGTATTTAGCTAGCTTAATTCACCCTACTAGGGTTGCCAGAATTCACAAATAAAAATAACTGTTTTATCTGGCAACCCTAAGCTTTACTGAATTTTTAAAATTCAATTCCCATCTCATTCTCCCTGAAAAATGTGCGCTGCAAAATTCTGGGTTAGAAAATAACTTCTATACTCCCAGTATAACATAAGCAGATACATGGAAATGATTCCCAGTTGGAAGCATTCAGGGAAATCACCTGGAGAACTTCAAAAAAAATACTATTGTATGTTCTTCAGTCTTCACAAAGTTCACCAACTGATTCTGAGACACCTCTTAACCAAAACCACTGTTGACCCCAAGACAGAAAATCCTTGCCAAGAAAGATTCCTGTGCAGAGGATAAGCCCAAATTCTTAGTGAAGTCTAGCAGCTATTGCTTATCAGTGCCTTGCATGCATGTGGCATTTCAGTGAAAAGGCACAGACAGGGCTGCCAAACCTGTGCAACGCTCCTGCCATCCGAGCATATTATAACCAATAGGACTGAGCTATCCCTGTCCAATTGGAGCTGCACAGCTACATCCTCATTTGCATATTTACTGACCATTAAGAGGGACACCACAACAACCAATCGGAACAGCGGGGCCAACCCAATCAGGGTAGTGATATTTGGACCAAACTGTACAGATTTGGAGTTTTCATTTGCATATACACAAATCAATCAAGGACTGGGAGCAGAAACTTCTCTCTATATAAGCCAGGCTCCAGTTGCCTCAGTGGAGAGCACTTTTAGCTGCCTTTCCCTGGCTTGAGCTGTTAACACTTCAGTTGTAACAGAGGATTGCTTCACTTGAGCAGTCTTAGCAAATAAAGTCTCTCCCTTCACTGCATCCCAGATTAGGGACTCCTGGTGGCAATGAATTGGTGGCAGAGAACTGTGGTTCACGCCACTAATTACATTAACACTGAACAAGGACTGGTTGTTCACTTGCTTCTCCAACTCCAACAGAATAAATTACTTAAGACCAGACACTGATTTTCCTATTACTTATTTCTAGTAGGAGAAAGCACTGAATATCACTGATACTAATGGCCTGGCCAGACTGCAGAAAAAGGCAGAAGGTGGGGAAAAGAAGGGGCAGCCAGAGGAGATGTGAACCTGAGGCAGCAGGCAGGGCGGCCACACTGTCAGGGCCACAGCTAAGCTGGGGCCTGGTGAATGCTCTGCCCCTTGTGCACAGCAACCTGCTCCAGCAGCAGATTCCCCACACCTCAGGCAGGATGGCAATAGGAGGAAGTATTGTAGTAAGCTCCCACAAGGCCAGTAAGATGGTTGGACAAGAAAAAAATCCCTCCTGCCCCTTTCAGTACCAGATTGGGCATAGGACCAGGGGAAGGCAGTCATGTGGGCTTTAGAGATCAGAATGGCAAAAAAGGAGGAAAGGACATAACTTTTACCCAATTCCTGAACATACTGGCTGATGCACTCACAGGACCTTCCAACCATGGAAGCTGCATGGCCAATGGCAACACTGGACCCACATGCGGGTTCCAATGAGGGAGCCTGAGGCCTGACACTGGCCAGGAGAAAAGCTCAACTGCCTGGATGTCCACTCGGCAACCATCTCTGGTCCCCAAAGGCTGGAACTTTAAATGGGAGAAGGAACTCTGGACACTGTCTTTAGTTTTGGTCTGGCTAAGGGAAGCTGGGTTTTCCTTTGTTTCCAGGATGGGATGGGCTTTGAGACAAGAGCCTGCCATTTTCCTACTGGGCAGCATTTGAATAAAAATCTCTTTCCTTTCTCACCAACCTCTGCAGCTAGAATTTGTCTACTGGTGGCAGTGGACAGCTGAACCCCGTTTTTGGTTTGGTAACATCAATACCAGAAGGTGGCAAAACTCAGCTTATGGGCCAAATCCAACCAACTGCTTAATTTTGTAAATAAATTATTATTGGAATAGAGCCACACTTTACATATTGTTTATGACTGCTTTCAATCCACAATAGCAGATATAAATAGTTGAGACAAAGATTGTATGGCCCATAAAGCCTAAAACACTTACTATGTGGTCCTTTACAGAAATAGTTTGCTGACCCCTAACCTATACGGTAAACAATTAAATAATCAGTGATATACCAAATACAACCAATTTACAAGTGAAATTAATAAGCATGTTAACATGGATACCTGGAGCTTTATATGTGCATGTATGTATAATAAATGTCTGAATATATAAAATATTACAATGTTTGAATAAGTTCAAATTGATGCCTCTTTTTAAATATATAGTAACTATCATATTGGTTAATAAGAAAAAAGACTTCACCATCTGAACAAACTTTAACGCACATTGTCCAAAAATATACTGTGGATTGATGCTACATTATTATAACTTAATACACTCCTTACAATGAACCTCTCTGGGCAAACACTTCTCATTTCACTGGGAGAAAATCAAAGAGTTTTTAGGATCTCAAGCAGTGCCATGGTTTTCACACAATAAATGTGACTTTGTGATGATAGTTAACACTTCACCTAAACAGCTCTCATATTTCACTCAGAATACAGCTAAGAAACTAAAAACAAAAAAGTACTTCTAACAGCTATATCCTCTAAGTCCATACATAAAGTACGTAATGTATATATATGTATATACACAAAAACATACATATAAAGATGTATTTTAGTATACTTATGTTTATGTGCAATTATACACATTTATTTAATACTCTTTGTATCTTTAGTATATAGGTTTAACATATAAAGATAATATACAGTCAGGGCCAGTTAGTTCTGAACTATGCAAAATTATATACAGTATATAAAGGTAATATATTCTTTCAATCTGTAAAGATATAATGCATAAAGACAAACTCAGAGATTATTTGGTTATTTCCGTTTTGTTTAAGCTATAATTGATTATTATATTAGTTTCAGGTGTACAACAAAGTAATTTGATATTGGTTCTTAATTACACGTGATCCATAAAACTTGGTATTCTGAGAGCCAGCTTAAATTAAAAGTACCAACTTATAACATAAAAATTTTATCTCAAAAGTAGGCCAACAAACTGGAGGGATGAGAAGTATCAAATGTCACCAGCCTTCGGATAATTCATAAAAGATTTTAAAACACTGCTATACAAAGGGAGGTCTCAGGATGAAGGGGACCTTCTTAGAAATGTGGTATCTGCATTTTAACAATGTCCTCAGGTGATCCATGATTTGAGACCTCTGGTCCAGAAATACCAGACCAAATGAATACTCCTAAAAGAAATTACTGTCTAAAATTACTCTTCTCACCCTGACTGGTGTGGCTCAGTGGACTGAGTGCCAGCCTGCGACCCCAAAGGTTGCCAGTTTAATTCCCAGTCAGGGCAAATTACCTGGGTTGTGGGCCAGGTCAGGACCCCAATATATAGCACACTGGCAACCTTTTGATGTTTCTCTCCTCTTTCTCCCTCCCTTCCCCTTTGTCTAAAATAAATAAATAAAATATTGAAAAGTAAAAAAAAAAAAATAACACTACTCTTCTCCTTGCCAATCATCCCAATCCCAGTAAAGGTCTGATTTTGTAACATAGATGGAAAACTTCTAATAATAATCATTTAAAAGATGACAATACCTTGAGCACTTGAACTTGACCTTCTGTAGTAATGTCCTTTAGCAATTCACAAAAGGACTGACACAGACCTACTGCATATGTCTGCAATTCAATCAAAAGTCAAAATATACTTATAAATAAATCTGCAATATCAAAACACACATAAAATTCAATTTGGGATTCATTATAACCTATTGATAATTATATACTAAAGTTTCATTTAATACTCTTTAGGAGTCCTGGCTGGTGTGGCTCAGTGGCTTGATTGAGTGCAGGCCTGTGAACCAAAAGGTCACCGGCTTGATTCTCAGGCAGGGCACATGCCTGGGTTGCAGGCCAGGCTCCCAGTTGGGGGTGCCGGAGAGGCAAGAACATACTAACATTTGTTTCCCTCTCTTTCACCCTCCTTTCCACTCTCTCTAAAAATAAATAAATTAAAACCTTAAAAGATTAAAAAAAATAAAAGTCTTTAGGAAAAGTTTAGGAAATAAAAATAAAAGCTTATTTCTCATGCTGATTTTTATAGAAATAAGAGGATATTCTTATCAAATATTCATAGAACATAGTTTCTGTGCTAACAAACCTAATTCACAGAACTGCATCCTGTCACCCCTGCAGTGGTGGTCAATGCTCATATATATACCCCCCCAAATTAATGTAGATTCATCAGTTAAATTTTGAAAAGGTAACTCCTGATTTCAAAAGAAAAAGAAAATTATAACTATGTAATTTTTTACAATGCAAAACACTATATAACATACCTGTAAAAATTCTGTTGATGATAAAAAGATATAACCATTGATGATCTTAAAGCAGGTTCTGAGATTTTCTGAACTTAGTTCTGCCAAAATAACAGTTTTTTAAAAGAACAAATTAATTCATTGTTCAATGTCAGATTAAACAAAGTGAATTATTTAAAGTTACATACACTTTACAAATCTTCGCAGAGTGCTATTCAGAATACTAGTATATAAATAATTACCCCAAAATTGGCATCAACCTACAACTTAATGCTTCCCCCCAAAACTCCCACTTATAAAAAACAATTTAGAAAAAAAATTAAATTCCCTTTTTTCTTTTCAGAAAAGAACCCAATATTTAAAATCAAACTAAATTTCTAGTATTAGCAATGGCAAACAACATGCAATTGGATTGTTTTACCATCACATTTTGACATCTGCTTAAATGGGTTCATGCAATAAGCATTATGCTACTATACTTATAAAAAGAATCCTCATTATACTCTAACAAATATTGTTTGGATATTCTCAATTCTTGAACTTCATTCTTCCCGCACATAAAAAACGTTCTTTAAAAAAGTAATTACCAGAATAGCCCAGGAAAAGAATATGGTTTTTATCTATGCCTTTAAAAGTACAAAGCAGAAGCTATTTTGTTCAAATTGACTATGAGCATATGTTATACAGTGTTATTTTACACATCTTATCACATACAATAGTTGTACAACAGAATACAGATTGTATGTACATAACTGTGTAGATAAAAAAAAATCTATGTCTAAAACCTGCCATTCTTTGTTGCTAATGCTTAAAAATTCTATATACTTGCAATAGGACAGATTAGAAAACATTTTTCTGGCAAAATATTGACCTACAGCCTATCTAAGTCATACTTTAGCAAAGTGAGAAGACATTATATTCAGATGAAAATTTCCTATATATTCTCACAATAAAATGACAATCCTAATTTTGGCTCAAAATGTATCTTAAAGGCATTAGTTCACAAACTTTAGGATTTAACAAATAATTTTAAAATAAGCATGTGGAGGGAAAGGGAATGGCCAACTTGTAACCATGCTGATGAAAGGCATAAAAAGAAATAACAAAGGTTGTCATCTAAACATTTGTCACAACGAAAGACAAAAATCTCAGCATAAAGAGACAGGCATTTATTTTGGATAGTTTTCCTTATGAGAAATTCACATCGTCCCCTTCTCCTCAGGAAGAAAGTCCAGTCAACTCTGGATTTGCTGATAATGTTTCCCAGTCCAACATATTTGAGAATTCAGGACAGCTATACCCCAGGCATGTCAGGGAACATAATTTCTAAATGAATGCCACCATTTATGATGAAGAAAACAGTATTTAAGACAGGTTGATTTTTTTTAAAATTTTATTTCTTTATCTTCAGAAAGGAAGGAAAGGGAAGGAGAGAGGAGGAGAAACATCAATGTGTGGTTGCTTCTGGTGTGTCCCCTGCTGGGAACTGGCCCCTGCTAGGAACTGGCCTGCAACCCAGGCATGTGCCCTGACTGGGAATCGAACCGCGATCCTTTAGTTCGCAGGCCCGTGCTCAATCCACTGAGCTACACCAGCCAGGGCCAGGATGATTTTCAAAACCATAACACCCACCTCTTCTTACAGATGTTTAAAAAACTATTCCTAGATCAATCATGTCTCCATCATGCTAAGAGTAGCTTTTATTAAATTTTCTAGGGTACGCTGTCATCAGCACATAGTAAATACTAATATTAAGTGTAGTCTTAAATCAATAAATTAGCCTTTAGGTATATAAAACACTGTTAATTATATCCATGAGTTCCTCCTAGTGACAAAAAAAAAAAAAAATGATTATCCGGGCCTAGTATCAGAACTATACAATGGATCTGCATTTCTTTTCAGACCCTATGGATAACTAAAGTCAAATATTTTCAACCAGGGGCAAGTTCAGACATCTGGCAAAGTATGAAAACTTTGGTTATTATAACCAGCACCTAATGGGTTGAGGCTAAGGATGCTTAACATTAAGGTTCCTACAATGCACTGGGCAGCCTGACATAACAAAGAATGATATGCCCCCAAATTTCAACAGTGTCCACACTAAAAATCTCGAATTTAGGTGATTGATTTTCTTCCTTCTACAGACTGACAGAGCTCTGAGGCAAATCTGTGGCCCATTAAAGTTTCTAGTTATGCTGTGTGCATATTATATCTATCTGTATTAATTTATAGTCCATTCCTTTTTCTCTACTTTTTGGTGCTATTTTTAATTTATAATTTCAAATGTTACATTTGATTTATTCTTTTAAGTTTCTATAAAGAGGACAAAAAGAATAAATTCCTGAGTTATGTTACAGAGACTTAATACAAATTTATTTATGTTTAGCCATACTAGGTAATATTTCTGTTTGGAAATGCAACTGTAATAGTTTCTTCTATTTCTGACAAAATGAAAAAACAAAAAGTGTAAGATCCTTATGATGGTGGGAGGGGGGCAGGCGGAGCAGGCAGCAGAGGGGGACGGCACTGGAGGGAAGGAAGTCCCTTCCAAATCAGATAGAAAGTTACCAGCAGAAAACTTTTGTTGGTCAAGAAACATTAGTCTGGCATTTAGAACAACAAGGGTAAGAGCCAATCAGATGTTTACCTTTTAAATAATTGTATTACTAAGTAAGTTAACATTATAAAACAGATTTAAAAAATTTTTAAAAAATACCCTTAGAACTAAATTATTAGGTTCGCTTTTAGTTAGTGCTTCTGGTTCTACTTAAAATATCTCCAGTTCTACTTATATTCAGGGAAAACAATATAAAATGAATTTTAGCCTTGGATTTATTCATAATTAATGTACCCTAAAAACTATTAACTTAAATATTTTACAGTGTTCAGTATTATTGATTTTATGTAATTTAAATAAAAATGAAAAACTTCCTGACAGTAACTTTATTTCTACTTAGGAAAAAAAAACAGCTATCACATTCATTAAATACATTTTTTAAACCCTTTTTTAATGAAAAAGAATGTTTCACTGGTAAGAAAAATGAGTAACAATTTTAATTTGTATTCTTAAGAGATTAAAATGAACTGATTATAGTTGAAAAAGTTTTAAACCTCATCTGAAAAATGTATATGCAAAAAGCTACATGTCAAACAATATAAAGCAGTTGTGTAATATTCAAATAAAAGTATACTAAACATGCACAGATGTAATTGTAACCAAACTTCTTCAGTATTATTGAGGCTGATATACATATAATGCATAGAACAAATCACATATAACTTTTTGTTTTGAAAAATGTACAGAATACACAATCTGAAAATGTCACATCATCTATATTCATTAAAACTCTTAAATATAGGTTTTTTTAAATCTTCAAAAGCCCAAAAAGTTTTAATCAACTATCAATGATCACAAGATTGCTTTTGCTTTTAGCTTTTAAAAAAATATTAGAGTTGTCCCATTTACCCACCTTTGTCCACCTCCACCATTCCCTCCAACAACGCCCCCTCCCCAGCCTGCTGCCCCCAGTTGATATCCATCAGTCACACAAGTTCTTTGGCTTCTCCATTTTTTTTTACAGTTCTTAACCTCCCCTATTTTGTACCTTCCAATGTGTGTTTCTTAATTCCTGCACCTTTTCCCCCATTCGCCCCTTTCCCCTTCCAACATATAACCCTATAAATGATGCCTATATCTATGATTCTGTCCTGTCCTGCTTGTTTAATTTTAGATTCAATTATTGATGGTTGTGATTTTGTTGCCAATTTAATATTCATAGTTTTGATCATGTTTTTCTTATATATTTCCCTTTAACATTTCATATAATAATGGCTTGGTGATGATGAACTCCTTTAGTTTTATCTTTTCTGGGAAGCATTTCATCTGCCCTTTAATTCTAAATGATAGCTTTGCCAGACAGAGTAATCTAGGTTGTAGGTCCTTGCTTTTCATCACAGTGAATACTTCTTGTCTGTCCCTTCTAGCCCACAAACTTTCTCTTGAGAAATCAATCAGCTGAGTCTTATGGGGTCTCCTTTGTAGGAAACTCTCTGCTTTTCTCTTGCTGCTATTAAGATTCTCTTTATCTTTAACCTTTGGCATTTTAATTATGACATGTCTTGGTGTGGACCTCTCTGCATACATATTGTGTGGGACTCTGTTCTCCCTGGATTTGTATGTCTATTTCATTTACCAAATTAGAGAAGTTTTCTTTCATTATTTTTTCAAGTAAGGTTTCAATATCTTGCTCCTTCTCTTCTCCTGACACCCGATTCAGATGCTGGTACAGTTGAAGATGCCCCAGAGGCTCCTTAGCCTAGCTTCATGTTTTCTGAATTCTTTTTTTTTTTTGCTGTTCTGACTGAATGCTTTTTTCTTATGTTCCAAATCATTGATTTGATTCTCATCTTCATCCCCTCCACTGTTGGTTTCTTATAAATTTTTCTTTATTTCACTTAGTGTAACCTTCATTTCTGCCTGGGTTTTTCTGATGCTACTGAAGTACCCAATGAGTTCCTGGGGCATCCTGGTAATCAGTGTTTTGAACTCTGCATCTCATAGATTGGTTGTCTCTATTTCATTTAGTTCTTTTTCTGGAGTTTTGTTCTGTTCTTTCATTTGGGCCATATTTCATTGTCTCCTTGTTTGGGCCACCTCCCTGTGTTTGTTTCTGTGTATTAGGCAGAGTTGCTTTGACCCCTGTCTTAGCAGTATGGCTTATTATAGAAAAGCACACCTATTAAGTTGGATGGGGTAGAGCCTTAGGTAATTGCCAGGAAGGGGCAACCCATGTCCGCTGCTCTGTGGCTGTGGGGTGAGGGCTCGCAGAGGGAATAATGCTGGTGCCTAGCCTCTGGGGGTGTGCTTGGGACGAAGCTGTCTCCAGCACTCACCCTGATGCCAGTCACTTCACTTTCTCCCCATATGCCACTGGAGCCTTCTCAGCTGTTGTCCTGGTGCTGAATCCTAAAGAGAGTGGGTCTGCATACGCCTTCAGTGTTTTGTGGGTCCTCTAAGAGTAGTCTTCTGTGAGTCCCACAGTTTCTTCTGTTGCCCCAACCCCCACTTGTTTTCACAGACAGAAGTTATGGGGACTTAACTTCCTGGTACAGAAACTCTAGGCTGGGTGGTCTGCTTTGGGGCCAGGATCCCTCACTCATGAGGTATCCCTCCCAATTTTTATCTACCACACATGGGTGTGGGACCACCCGTTCTACGTCTCTGCCTACCTGTCAGAGTGAACGTGGTGGCTTCTTTAAATTCTTGGTTGTCAGACTTCCATACAGCTCAATTCTGATGTTTCTGGGTGGTTTGTTTGTAGTGTAGCTGTAATTTTTCTGTAGTTGCGTGAGAAGGCAAGGCATGTTTACCTATGCCTCCAACTTGACCAGAAGTCAAATTTAACTAGTTCCTGATTCAGTTAAGTAACAAATCCTATATAGCCAATGGCTGGGTACTTTTAAAAGTAATGTTAATAATAACAATAAATATAATTGCAAAACACTTAAATTGTGCTTGCTATGTGCCAGATATTGTTCTGAACACATAAAAGTCTTTATTGACACATAAGACTATGCATCAACTACTTTAGCTTTCTACAGTAAAACTGTACTATAGTACTTATTAAACCTACACTCAAAATAGGGCATATGGATCTAGCAGGGTTACTGTTGTGTTTTTTTTGTTTAAGTCTCTTCTTCTTGGCCACCAATCCTCTCTCAACACACTGTAAAGCCAAGGCATGCTGAATTTGGGGTAGTATACAAAGGTGAAGTGAAACTACTATGCAAAGTCAGCCATATGTAAAAATGGCTTTATCTGCTTAAGACAAAGTTCATAATGGGTCTGGGTTGAGATTTCCATTCTTAGGTCAAGTATAAGGAAACACTGGATTACCAACAATGGTGCACATGTGGTCTCCACGTTAGGTAGAACAAAGCTAAAAGGGCTTCACCAGAGGCGAAGTGAAGGAAAGTGAAAAGGACATTTCCTATTTTCTTTCTCAATAATGTTTTAAGTACAGACAAAACTTTCCCTAGCAATAAGTGACTGGTATTCTGCCACTGTCTTCATCTTTGGGAATTTTTCTCCATAATTTTATGAAAATGCTTGATGATAAATAGCACATGGCTCTTCTTTACTAGAAAACAGATGATATTTTGGTACTATTTGAGATCTCACCTATACTAAAGAATAGGATAGAACAGAAAAAGAAACAGAAAAAATGTGAAGAACTATTTAAATTGCCTAGATACAAGAGCCATTCAGCAAATGAGAGGTTTTTTTAACCAGTTATGATTTTGTTTTAGTCCACATTTGTTGATACTGTCAAAAGTGAGCCTGCACTTCTCTGGTGCATCATTATACCACAGCAACATTTTTGCCTCTAATAAAACTGCTCACTACAAATAAGTTCTTAGAAGAAACAATCTTTAGATATTGTTAAAATAAATTTGTCTTTTTCCTAGTATTTTTCTATGTAAGTACTGTCTCCTGAAATATTAAACTATTCTGTTAGTACACCCAAGTCCTAACAAAGGAATTAAAGATGCTTCATTTAAGAGTCTTGAAGAACTTCCAGCCAAGATTGAGGAGTAGGTGGAAACACTGTGCCTCCTCAGACAACCAAAATTAAGGATAACAAAGATTCAGAAACAAAACAACCAGAACGGACAGAAAATTGACCTGTTGAAAGTTTGACAACCATTTAACCAGACTGGTAAGAGAGGCAGAGTGGGAGGCCAGTGGAGAGGGGCTGAGACACAAAAAGCAGGAGCTGCCAGACCCCGGGAAGGGGAAAGCAATGGGCAGACCCAGTGAAATGCCCAAGGTGGTTGGCTGACCACAGACACACATTCATGCACAGATAAACCGGGTGAAAAAAGGCAGTGAGAAAGACTGTGCAACCCAGGACCGCAGCACTGGGAAATAAAGCCTAAAAGCACCAATTGAAAACACTTGTGGGGGTTGAGGTGCCAGGAGAGACTTCCAGCCTCACAGGAGAGTTCACTGAAGAGACCCACAGGGTCCTAGAATGTACACAAGCCCACCCACCTGGGAACCAGCACCAGAAGAGCCCAATTTGCTTGTGGGAAGTGGCAGAGGGAACTGAAATCTGAGAGAGTGTGGAACGAGCGCCATTGTTCCCTCTCTGACCCCGTACCCACATACCATGTCACAACCCAACACATGGGTTGCCCTGCCCAGGTGAACACCTAGGGCTCCGCCCCTCACTACATAACAGACATGACCAAAACAAAAAATTATGGCTCAAACAGAAGAACAAATCAAAACCCCAGAGCCAATACTTTTAAACAACCAAGAGATAGCCAACCTATCAGATGCACAGTTTGAAACACTGGCGATCAGGATGCTCACAGAACTGGTTGATTTTGGTCACAAATTAGATGAAAAGAATGAAGGCTACACACTAAGTGAAATGAGGAAAAATGCACAGGGAACCAATAGTGATGGAAACAAAATTGGGATTCAAATCAACGGTGTGGATCAAAAGGAAGAAAAAAACATCCAACCAAAAAAGAATGAAGAAACAAGAATTCAAAAAAATGAGTGAGGAGAGGCTTAGGAACCTCCAGGACATCTTTAAACGTTCCAACATCTGAATTATAGGGATGCCAGAAGGAAAGGAGGAAGAGCAACAAATTGAAAACTTATTTGAACAAATAATGAAGGATAACTTCCCCAATCTGTCAAAGAAAATAGACTTCCAGGAAGTCCAGGAAGCTTAGAGTGTCCTAAAGAAGTTGGACCCAAGGAGGAACACACCAAGGCACATCAGAATTACATTAGCCAAGATTAAAATGAAGGAGAGAATCCTAGAAGCAGCAAGAGAGAAGAGGACAGTCACCTACAAAGGAGTTCCCATCAGACTGTCAGCTGATTTCTCCAAAGTGACCTTGCAGGCAAGAAGGGGCTGGAAAGAAGTATTCCAAGTCATGAAAGGCAAGGACCTACATCCAAGATTGCTCTATCAAGCAAAACTTTCATTGAGAATGGAAGGGCAGATAAAGTGCTTCCCAGATAAGGTCAAGTTCAAGGAGTTAATCATTACCAAGGCTTTATTATATGAAATGTTAAAGGGACTTATCTAAGAAAAAGAAGATAAAAAAGATGAACAGTGAAAGGACAGCAAACTCACAGTTATTAACAACCACACTTAAAACAAAAGCAAACTAAGTGGACAGCTAGAACAGGAGCAGAGCCACAGAAATGGAGATCACAGGGAGGGTTAGCAATAGGGGAGTGGGAGGAGAAGGGGGGAGAAGGTACAGACAATAAGTAGCATAGGTGGTGGGAAGAAAATAGATAGGGGGAGGGCAAGAGTAGTGTGGGAAATGTAGAATCTAAAGAACTTATGACACATGGAGATAAACTAAAGGGGGGAATGTAGGTGGGAGGGGATGTGCAGGGTAGAGGGAATAAATGGGGGAATGGCATAATCAATAAAATATATTATATATATAAAAAAGAGTCTTGAAGAATAGGATCCTGAATGGAAAAAACTTAAATAACTTTTATGTTTTAAAAGTAAATGACTTTTAAAAATGGTAGTATTTTGCAGATTAAAAGAAATCCCGAATATCCAATAAATGGCACTTTATAGAATTCTTAAATACTGCATCAGTTTAAATGTAATCTGTACTGATAAAATCTCTCACAAAACTCTATAAACAAAATATTTTTTCAATATTTAAAGTATTACATAACTTGAGTGGTAATTAATATGTAACACAAAATTGTTTTCTGTTATTATTTATCATCAGAATACATGTGCAGATTGACAAAAAAGAATCTAATTAGATCTCATCCATGCTTAAAGGGACTAAATGCCTACTGCTAGCCCACTGTCCAGTTCTATGAGTTCATGTACCAAAAGCATAGCTTCAGTAACATTAAACTTCATGATTTTACAGCTCATACATGAGTCAAACTTCAATAAATAACAGACTTTCTAATATTAATAATTTCATTATATGAGGTTCATATTGTGGTTCCTTAGCTAAGTCAGAAATACGTACAGAGCTCATTTGTGAAAAATTGATAACACGAAATCACGTTGTGAAAGAAGCTGGACAAACCAGGGTATATATAGAACTAGCCTCACAGCGTAACCTTTTAAATATAATACCATACAGAACTGCTATGAAACAAATTTTACCAAAGTTCAAACTTAATTTGTAGTTTCCTAAGAACCTTTTAAAAATTTTATTTAGTACATTTACTATTTGATCTTTAATAAGCAGAAGTTATTCTTAAAACATACAGAAAAAATCTACGAGCTATTAAAACACTATCCAACTTATCTGTCAGTATGAGAAACTTTAGTAAACACAGGTTATCTATAATGCCCAAATTATGGCTCTATTAGTGAGTTTATGCTTTCATACCTACCAAGAAGTGGTGACATATTCTGAAATATACGAAGCAGTTCTGGTGTAATACACGGGCTGTTTTCCAAAGTCACTAACCTAGGGAAAAAAAAGTTAAATCATTTTCTGTAACCATTAAAGTTATTAATATGACTTAAATATTTCAAAAACTGTCCCATTTAAAGACATAAAAATAGACAATATGAAGTCATACAATTACCTAAAAGTAAATTACAAAATTCATCAAAATTAAAAACCTATTATATAAATCATATAGTATTATTTCTATATAAATGGCAAAAAGTGTAAGGAAAGAAACTACATTCTAAAATATGTATGCTTATAACAATAAAGCAAAAGTATGATTATGATAAATGGTTTGGAAGAGATAAAAATTATTTCAGTTTTTGTTTTTCTGATATAGTCTTATCAAGTGTCCTTTCAAAGAAACACTGGGCTAATTAGTGGCAAAAAGTTATGTTAAATTTTTAATATGAGCTTAGTAAAATTTAATAAATATGAACAAGCAAATCTCAATCACAGTAATAACAATCTGAAAAAATCAATGTATAAAAAATAAATTACAGCCCCAGCTGGTGTAGCTCAGTGGACTGAGCGCGGGCCTGCAAACCAAAAAATTGTGGTTTGATTCCCAGTCAGGGCACATGCCTGGGTTGCAGGCCAGTTCCCAGCGGGGGACGCATGAGAGGCAACCATACACCGATGTTTCTCTCCCTCTCTCCTCCCCTTCCCCTCTAAAAATAAATAAAATCTTAAAAAAGAAATTTAAAAATAAATAAACAAATAAATTACATACAGATTGTGGTTTATCATAGAAGTGTGTAGTTAGTTTATCTCCTCACGCCACCTTTTCTACCCCCACCAAAAAAAGTTAAAGAAGAAAACAACAAATGTTACAATATCTGCAAGGAAAGGGAGGAAGGGTCCTATTCTAAATGGAACATTCACTATAAAAACCCTCATCCAATTATAAATAGGAAGGAACTTCCTTTATCTCATAAAAGAGTACCTACCACTCATAGAAAACACACCTAGTGACAATACGAATCTATTCTCTGGAAAAACAGTGACATGCCGCAAAAAGCATCATCTATCATTCTGTCTACACTGACATCTGCTGAGTGTATGTGTGCAGGGCGTCTCGGAAGGACTCTAATATGATGAGCCAAGTAAGTTAATAAAAGATACAAAGGTAGGTATGAAAAAGTTACGTTTTTATTCACCCAAGATATGACTGACAGAAAAGAAAGAAGAAAAGAATTCATAAATAAATTTCCCAAATTTCTCAGGGTTCAGCATGATTGCTTAATATATCAATACACTGTAATTGCCTTCCTCTTCTCACCAGAAGGAGGTGACACAGATAGATAGGCACTTTGTAAACATGACAAGATGTGAAAACACAAAACACAATATTCAAAAGTGCTGGCAACACAGGACACTATAAAGTATTGGTTGTTTACCTCCATAAACCACTGTCTAGCATTGCGAAAAAATATCCTACTGCAAATTTCAAAGTATGGTTTCTAGTGAATGTGTATCACTTTTGTACCATCACAGAGTTGAAAAATATTAAGATGAACTGTGCTGAAGTGCAGAGCTGGCTGCCTGCCACTTCAAAAGCCAATACTCTAAAGACAGGTGCTAATATAACAGCAAGTGGTTTATTTAGATGCAAGCCATCTGGAAGCTGGGGACTCTATCACAAAGCCCATCTTCATGGAGGACTCGTCTCAAAGACTATGTCTCTGGGAAGATGGGCCTCTCACATCTTAAAGCCCATCTCCCCGTCTCAGTGGAGGCAGAGGTTTTTATAAGGAAGGAAAGGGGAAATAGAACAAAGAGATCAAGGGAGGGGCTTGAAAAGTTTTTCATGTAGAGACGAGCACAGTGCATTCTGATAAGGACAGTGATGGTCCAGTGTGCGTCATCCTGCCTTCACATCATCCTGACTTTATGTCATCCTGGTTTCCCGGATGAAGGTCAGCAAAATCTCCTGGAGCTGGGATGCCTCGAGTCTATAACTTTTGAAGTTAGTTCCTAGGATTCTTATACAAACATGCTATTTATTTATAACCTATGTATTTGTCAGAGTCAGCATCTACAGAAATAACATCAAAAGAATTGCAGGGTGGGTTGTAATTCCCCACTACTACACTTACCTACTGTTATAGAACCGCTGTAAGTCACAGATACAAAAATCTAGTATCAAGATGGCAATTCTAAGTTGTTATGCAGAATGAATAAAATGTCAACTCAATTACCTATACGGCTTTTCCTGGAAATAAGGTAAGCTGATTCCAAAACTATGTGGAAGGCAAATGAGCAAGAACAAAAAAAAACTTCTCAAGAAAACACAAAAAACATGAGGGTAGGGGAAGATACTTGCTTTACCAAATATTATGACTTACTATCAAATCACTGTAATGAGTATCATAAACAGAATAGAAAGCACAAGAAATACAACTTTTTGCATATGACAGAAGAGGCTCCAAGGCTAAGTAAGAAGAGGTAGACCGTCGACTCAGTATTTGGTGGTAAATCTCTCACTCATACAAAATACAGAAATTAATTCCAAGACAGGTAGGTATGAGAAAGGTTAAGATATGAAGAGAACATATTCATGACTTTAGGTTAGAGAAAGATCAAAGAAGAAAACAAATAAATATGACTACATCAAATTAACAATTATTGTATATCAAAATATAACCCCCCAAAGCAAATATATATGTCACATATTGAGAAAAGGTCATCTGCAATATATATGAGGGAGGAACCCCCTAAAATGGAATTATCTTCTGGAGGCTGGCCCCTTGTAGTGCAGGCTTCCCCGGCCAGGTGAGTGTCCCAGGAACCCGTCTGTATCAGTGTTCCTTCCAGCTGGCATTGTTGTCAGGGGCTGCTTGGGCTTCAGTGAATTTTTCTGAGGACTCTTTCAATGTGTTTGCCCATTTCACAATGAATCATTTACAAGTGCACCTGCCTACACCTCCCTGAGTATCCAGCAGTTTTTGAACAAAAACAGCATGATCCCTGTGCCCCATCCTCCTCATTCACCTCACCTTGGCCTGAGCAAGGTTTCTGTTGTTTCCCTGGATGAAAAAAGTCCTCGGAGGGAAATGTTTTCCCCATGTGGAAGAGGTGAAACAAAAACAGTAGAAGCACTAAAAGGCATCAAAATCAGTGAGTTCAGAAAATGTTGTATTGCATCAAATGGGGGGTACTTTGAAGACAACTGAGGTTTAAACGTGTAAGAATACACAATGTTTTATAAACAAATAACAGGCTTTGGGACCATCTTTATAACAGACATAATAATGTGCAAAGGAGTAATATCCAAAAGGTAACAAGAGAAAAATGGACAGAACATATGACTAAGCATTTCACAGAGTAAGATATAAACACAGGCAATAAACCCGAGTATAAAAAATATACTAACCCTTTCTCCCACCTTTCCCCCTCTCTAAAAACGTATGAATAAAATCTTTTAAAAAATAAAATAATTTAAAAAATCAATTAATAAGTCTGAAGTTTCATTTTATATACCTGACCACAAACATCAGCTGCTTCTGGTTATCCCTAGTAAGTTCAAATTCTCGTTCTCCAATATAAAGATGTTATACCTTTGCTCCCCACAAACCTCATATCAATATACACTCCTACTCTAGCCCATAATACTCAGTTGATGACTACGTTTGTTGAGAAAAATAGAAGCTAACAGATGGAACACCTACCTATCTCACTCTACTACAATACAGAAGTCCATCTTCCTACCTAGTCCATCTTCCTACCTTCAGTTAAAACAGATGAAGTATTCCTGCTGCTACTAAAAATCAACCCTCTACTTGTGCTGAATCCCATCCCTTCTTGCCTTCTTCAATTATCTGTTTGGAGCCTCATCCATCACTCCAGACCTTGCATTCCCCATACCAGCCAGCTGTTGCCAGATTTCTACATTCCTCATCACAGTACAAGTTCTTAAACAGGTCGTCAGTGCTCGCAGTCTATACTTCTTAGCTCCAATTTGTGCTTCAGTCTACCCCAATTTTGTCTTTTGTTCTTATCACTCCACTGAAATCCCTCCTAACATCTGCATGTGGCCAAATTCACCTTTATGTGCTGCTCTTACTAGGACAATCAGCACAGCTAACACAGATGACTGCTCCCACTTTTAGAAAACAGTATCCTCTTGACTTGGTATTCCTCCTACATCAGTAGACAGCTCTTCTTTGTTATCTTTGATGACTTCTCATGTGACTTCTAAATATTATTAAATTCTTTAGAATTCTGCCCTGAGCTGAATGGTCTCTATATCTGTGCTTCACTTCCTAAGCAACCTTTAAATATTAAATATAAAGCAAGGCTTTAAATATTATATACAAAATAGTAACCACTTTACAAACATTACCTCAGTTTCACAACACCCATATGAAACAGGAATTTTTCCTCATTGTACAGATAAAGAAACTGAGGCTCACAGAAGATGATTATAAGCCTAATATAGTGGTGTAATTGGGGGTTAACACCTATATCTGATTCCAAACAAGTTCTAATCCATATACCCATGCACACACATATACATAAATACATATATGTATGCATATATACATATATACAAATGCTTTAAAGAATTTTAGCTATTCCAATAAATTTGGTAAATTAAAAAATGTATTATAATGGTTTAATCTGTTTACACATAAATAAGGCTAGGAAAAAAAATACAATTAACAGAGTGATTCACTTTTATTATTTCCTATTCATGTAATCCGTAAAAAGTTTACACACCTTTACTAAAACCACATTAATTTACTAAGTCTGCAATACTGATAAGTATCTGAGTTGGTCTCTTTACTGTAACTAATATTTCACATTTTTCTACCAGTCAGTATCATATAATATCTACGTTTACAGAAAAGTATGTATGTGCCAGAGATGGTTTTAATTTGTAATCTAGAGTAGGAGCTGGTAAACAGCAGCTCATGGGCCAAATTAAACCCACATCCTATTTCTGTAGATGGTGTTTTACTGGAGCAAAGCCATATCGTATCCATTTGTTTACATATTATTTATGACAACTTTTGGTCTAAAACAGCACTATGGAATAGTTGGGACAGAAAGCAGCATAGCCCGCAAAGACTAGAATATTTACCATCTGCTCCTGAAAAAATAAAATTGCCAACCTCTGATCTAGAGTAATCCATTCTGTGCAAATGAAAATATATGAATATAAATGTTTCCAACACATACCAATTTATAATCAGATGATCCAGAAGTCATTTAAATTAAAACATAATATAGAAAAGAATAAGAGAAACACAAATTGCAAATAAACACCTACCTAGTTATGCTTTAAATTTGTACATCTAGTATTCTATACATATAATTAACTTACAATTTGCACCAAAGATAATTTCTAAGAATCAAAAAACTGTTCATTTCTAGACAGCTAAGCAAAACTAAGAAAATAAGGGAAGGAGAGAAAAAGAAAAGCAGGGAGATCCTAAGTATTAATTTTTTTCAATGGTTATTAATTCTATATGGTTCATTTGTGATTTGCTTTTTTAATTCCAATATCAGTTTATACATTGGAATTTTTAAACATTTCCTGTATTATAAACTACATTTTAAATAGAAATTGCTGCCATTAGTACAGCAAGCTTAATAAAACAAAATGATTTCCTAGCACAGTTCCTTACAGTTTGTGGCACTAAGCTGCCAGAAGAAAAAGTTTTTATGGTGTTTTTTGTTTTTCTTTTTACCTCTTAACACTACATATTACTCACTTAGTGAAATAATAACTCAAGTGTTTGCTTCGGCAGCACGTGTACTAAAATTAGAATGATACAGACAAGACAAGCATGGCCCCTGCGCAAGGATGACATGCAAATTTGTGACGTGTTCCATATTTTTAAGCATTGAGAAAAAAAATAACTCAAGACTAAGTAGCACTAACATTTAGGGCTAAGGTATAACCTCAGTAGTAGTAAGGTAGTAAGTGGTTGAAAATAACTCAACAATCCCCCCAAAGTCTCATTCAACACACTGGGAATTTTAAGTAAATTTTTAATTTTGAAAATTTATCAAGACCCAAATTTTACATTCCAAATCGATAGATGAAATGCAGCTGAGTTCTTACTGAAACTTCGATTTTAACTCTGACTACTGTAAGCCTACATTGAGTGACAGCTGCCGAGAAATGATGGAGCTATTATTTTACCCACTTCGGGGAAACTGGTTTTACGTTTTTGTTTTTCAGTGTTGAGTCTGTAAGCCCTAGGGCATGTCTTTTGCTTTACTGGCATGAGAGTAAGGAAGGCCAGGAAAAAAAGTAAGATCCATGGTATCAAGTTTCTCTTCTTACCATAATTCTAAACCATCTTCCAGAAGATAAACATGTGGAGGCTGGGAAACATCTGTACTCAGTTGAATAACTGGGAGCAGGAAAGGGTACAGGTTCTTGCTGTCTGCTCCTAATCCCTATGGGAAGTATAAATAAAACTTAATGTAAGACACTCTAAGGTCCCACCCATCCCCCATCAAAAAGAAAAAAATCACCTATCATATATAAAAGCCCTAAAAACAACTTACAAAAAATAAATCAGATTTTAAAGGTTAGCCCTAATTAGAAGCGTGACTAAAACAAAGTTAGTTCTGTTTACAATTAGAAAGCAGGAGCAAAAAAAAAATACTATTCAATTGCCTAATGGTATAAAACCATACATACCAAGGCTGCACATATCTGTTTGTTTAAAGTGATTTCATATGAAGTATTTCCCCGTCTCTGACTACTGAAGAAGTGTTAACACTGAAATACTAACTCCTATAAATTATGTAACCTAAATAACTAATCTAAAATGAACCTAACCTAAATGTTCACCAGCAAGGTAATTATGGTGCATTAATATCTAGAATACTGATAACTATGGAAGAGTAATCCTCCATTGGACATGGATCGAAAACAATTTCAAAATAATTATCACCTGGATTAAAAAGCTACAGAAGTGTGTATAACCATTGTACATGCCAAAAAATTTTAAATAGCCACATGTCAAATATGCAGATGTGTTAACACAAGATAAATATGGAAAAGGGGAAAGAATGTTGGAAGAAGATAAAGGAGTTTATTTATTACTTTTCTGTAAGCTTTTAACAAAGATATACACATTATTTTAGTGAAGATATTTTGCTAATATTTTTAAAAAGCAGAAAACACAAGGAGGAACAGAAGGTATTTTATCTGAAATTCTAGTTTGCCTAAGTACTGTCTTGTGAAGGATGACTCCATGTATCACACTAACTCATTCTGAAAGAAAACTAAAAGGATGGAAAATCCATTTCTAATCCATAATGATCTCTATACTCTGACAAACATAGAAAGAAAATCAAACAAACTATCAAACACCTCAGTTAGGAAATAATCAAATGTCAATATAGTGTATAACAAATCACAGTACAACAATACATATGCATTCCCCCTTTTCTGAATTAAAGAAACATCTTTACTTTAAAAAATATGTATTCCCTTTCTGATAGCATATTAATACTACGTTCAACCTTCATCAGAACACAGATACTTCTGTGGAAATACATTATGCTTATCCTTAAATATTAAGTGTAAGTTTGGCCCTTTACATAACTAAAAATAAGGTGAAAGACCTTATTAAAGATTTTTTCAAAGAAGATTATAAAAATTTCACATTTAATAAAGTAGCAGTATACTGAAACTTAAAATTCAGTTAAAATTTCACTCTCCATAGCTCCATATTTAACTAAAGAAAAAAGAAAGAACATTAAGACAGACTAATCAAGTTCATATTGATTATCAAGGAGGCTTAAAATTCCCTAAGAAAATCAGAATCTATCTACTTAGTGCACATCCCAACAGCACAAATTCCTAGTATTAGCAAAACTAAAGACAGCAACAGCTAAACACTTAATTAAGACTCTCTGTCAAATCCTGAGGAGATTCATCTTTATAATCTGGCAGCCTGAAACACATGCACAATCCCAGATATGCAGCTTTAAGTTAATTTGAACATTCTTTTGGCTCATGGTTATAACTACATGACATTGCCTACAATACTGTGAGGACTCAAAAATAAATTTATCTGTTATTTATAAAATTATCAGAAATGCTTAGAGGAGGAAAAGCATATTGTACTATAATTACCTAAGATGTAAGGGGAAATTAGGTGAAGGGCACGAGGGAGTGTCTGTACTATTTTTGCCACTGCCTGTGATCTCTATTTTTTTTAAGTAAAGCGGGGAAAAAAGAATAACACCCTAGAAAAACTGGCATTTCTCACTGCTTTCGGCAATCTTCTCATGTCTCGTGTATAACAGGTTCTTCAATAACTTTGTTTCATTGTAACATGGATGAGATGCTGTAGGAACTTAACTCTTATTTACATCAATTAGCTTAGGAATTACTACACATGCTGATGATGACCAAACGTCTTATCTCTAACCCAAAACTCTGAACTCTCTGAATGACTACAGGACAGAGGTATCAGACTCATTTCCACTGGCGGGGGGGGGGGGGGTTGGGGGGGAGCACATCAGCCTCGCAGTTGCCTTCAAAGGACCAAAATAATTTTAAGACTGGATAAATGTAACTACTCCTTAACCGTTAAGGAATTGAATTGAATATTTGGCCCTTTGAAGTCAACTGCAAGGCTGATGTGGCCCCCTGGTTAAAATGAGTTTGACGCCCCTGCCATAGGACATCATCACCTAGAAGGCACCTCAAGCTCTTAACTCTACCACTAAACCAACCCATTGTCTTCCTTAATAAAGTTCCTTTTCCTTCATTCCCTAATTTATGTGAGATGAACCAATACTTTCCTAGTAATAATTATGTTGCAACCAACTCCTGGTTCCTCTTCCTCAACTCACATCTAAATAACCCTGAATTCTCATTCTCTCTCTCTAATAATTTTCAAATCGTGTCCTTTCTCCCCAAGGTTTTACTTCAGGTTATCATTCTTTCATGGGTAACACAACGGGTTCCCAACTACTTTCCCTGACCTTAGTTTTACCTCATTCTGAGCCAGTGTGCCCCACAGGTACCCCGATTACCTTCCTAAAATAAAAATAACATTCCTTTCTCTCAGCCTCAAGATAGGTTCTTTACAACTACCTGACCAGGCCACCACACCTAAGCTCTATACCTGCTCTACCAACTATATGTTCTGGCTATACCAACAACTCAGCATTAGAAATAACTGTTAATACCTGGAGAAAAGTTCATAGATTTAACCCATACATTCATTAGTATTCTCAGGGAAGATGCCCTAAAAGAATACAGGAGTATGTATGTGTTTTTAAAGACCTATAACTGTTAAGTACAAAGACAGCATAAAAAGATAAAAGCATCTCATTTTTGAAAGCTGGAAAGAAAGACAAGTGGTTACTGACTTAGCAGACTCAGAAAACCTAATCTCAAGGCTAGCAGTGAAAAAAGGACAACAAGCAGCCTAATTTACATGACAGGAACTCCAAAAGGCTCAGGGATCAATAGCACCAGGTATTTTGGCAAGAGGAAGGTTGTAAGTGAGGTATTAAAAATAAGACACCCTCCAGAGGAATCTTACCAGCCTTTGTATAGTCACACAAATAAAAACACTAAATAGTGACTTAAAGTACAATAGAACTATGCTGGGAGAATGAGAAAACAGAAGTCACATAGAGGGGAATGAAAGAACTAAATTTTCATCCTCTAAAACAGAAGTTGAGAGAATGGCTACAAATTTTAAATAAAGAATGAATACAAGTGTGTTACGTAGAGCCAGAGAGATAGAAAGCCTAAGGGACTGGGTTATACATGTTGAAAGTGGATTCCCCTCCAACAAACAGGAAATGGAGACACTGCTATTTTTCATAAAAGTCTTCAAGAACTGACTCCTTAACCTAACATGAAAAGCTGATCAATACACAAACCTAAAATGAAGAAACAAAAAGCACCACATTCTCTCACACCTAGGGGGCTTTGCACAGGCTGGACAAATTGTTTTAGAATATCCTTACCACTCTCACCCCTGCACCACCTCATTAACATCTCTTCTTTAACATTATTTCACACCAATGCTATTTGGTAACAACCTCGGTCAGGAAGCTCTCTCTAATGTCCCTCATCCTCAATTCCCACCATAGGCCCACAAAACACCATGTTTTTACTGCTAAAAGAGCACTTAACTGTTTAATCTTCACCTACAGCCACATTCACCAAGAGCTTGTCCTGTTCATTTCTGTATCCTAGTACCATGGGTTGCATATTGCAGGTGTTTAAAAATATTTACTGTATGAATAGATGCCTACTTCCACTAAAGCCAACTACTGCAAACTAGAAAGTTTATTTTCAGTCTTATTACACTCCCCCATCAGAAACTAGAGTCTGGGTTCCCAGAATTTAAAACAAAACCAAACCATACAAATATTTACACTAGTATCTGCCTGTTAAATTTTAAGTCATAAGATGGCAGCATTTCCCATGAGAAGAAACTTAACAGGTAATCCTTAGTACAACCTTCTCAAAAACTAAAAAACCTATTTAAATTACAGTCTCAACTTTAACATTAAATGTTATATACTTTCTCCCAAGAAGGGTAGTGATTACTTGGCTGGAACCTTGCACCCCTGGACTATATATACAGGGTACTTAAGTGGCATGTAAAGGAAAAGGCCCTGCTCACTCCAAACGTTCCCATGCAGGTTACTCTGGCTCCCTAGGATTTCCAGAGGCAACATGGCCTGAAAAGACAGGGCAGCTGAGTTTTTTCCCACACATTCCTCATAAAGTTCTCAAACTGAGTCTAAAAACACAGTGCAAAAGATTCGGGGGAGGGGTCATTCTTTATTCTGTTACTTGCAAGAGCAATCTCCAGCTAGTCACTGGAAAGTGAAACCACCTCTTAGCATTCATATCCTTTTAATAAAAGATATGTAATCTTTCAGGAAAATCACAAGAAGGTTAGACAGGAAGAAATGCTAAGTCAGACACTACACTTTAAAAAATTATATCACTATTAATGTATCTAAAACTGCTTTAGACAAAAATTTGTAACTATAAACTTCATCCATAAATATTTACTGAAAAATGAGTTCATGTTTCAAAAAGTGTCAGGGTACCTGAAAAAGGGTTTTCTAAGCTAATAATAGAAAAGGTTTTTTTAAAAACTTACTAGAACACTTTAGAGCAATAATTCTTAATTTAGAGAGAGATATCCCACTGGAAAATCTATCAGACTCTGGGAGCAAGGGCAGTAAAAGTCACTCCAGCATCCCTAAACCAGAAATACTCAAGCATTAGGTACTTCTCTCTCTGTAATCTCACCAACAGATGATACTTCACTTTAACAGCTCTAATGAGAACTAGAGTCCCTTTCTTTCTCTCTGAAGTTTAGGTTCCTCTCTGTCTGCTGTACATCCCAACATGTCAAAGTCAAGATGTCTAAAATTAAATTCATTCCTCCCCTCAAAAGCAACTTACCTGTTCTCCTGCCTTCCAATTTATGACAGGGAAATTTTTTATCTTAAATTAAGGAGGAGGAGTGAAAATGAAAACAACTTTATGCAGAAAAGCCCCAGTTACCAAGAAAGCTGTCTGCAAGGTACAATGGATTGCACAAATAATGAGTCTACCACCACGGGAAACCACTACATCTAATAAAAAAAATTGTGTTTAAAAAGTAGAGAAAAATTTTCAAGTGTCAAAAATGTCCAAAGTAACAAACGTATACAAGATGCTTTTAAAACTGTTTAGATCACACGTGATATACAAAATGTGAGGTCTTTCACTACCATTAATATAAACCACATAAAAATAATGAATATTTTTAAAGAAAAAAAAATACTAAACTTAACACTGTGGAGAAATGTCTCACCTGAACAAGATGAATAAGTGTTGTCAGAATAGCACATCTCAACATGTTGTGCTCTTCACTCTGCTTCCAAAGAAGAGGCAAATATTGCACCAAACATCCTACATAGGGCCGTATCTATCACAACAGAAGCAGGGACAGCAGAAGAACTGTATTAATGAAAAGGCAACTTACTTCAAGAAACACTGACCTAATTAAGTAACAGTCAGCAAATTCTTAATATTTACTAGACATAATGTAGTAAGCACATATCTTTTTGAAGATAAATCAGACATTACAATGAGACACAGAGCACTATGGTAAATATTTTTAAACAATCTTAAACAATTGCCAAATGTACTACATGAAATAAAATTTAGGAATATAAAATAACATATCAAGACCAGTTATTTTACAGTTTAATGGAAAAATGCTGTTATATCCTGGTTCTACGGTAATAAAACAGCTTAACTGGAAATTCACTGTTTTAAAAAGAATTAGCATTTATACATTCATTCAACAAGCATCTTCCAAATATCAGGTCCTGAATACAAGGCACCAGACAGAAAAGGATATACAGGGCCCTGTCTGGTGTACCTCGGTGGATTGAGTGCAGGCCTGCGAACCAAACAACCGCAGTTCGATTCCCAGTCAGGGCACATGCCTGGGTTGCAAGGCCAGTTCCCAGCAGGGGACGTACGAGGCAACCATACAGTGAGGCAACCATACAGTGATTGATATTTCTCTCCCTCTCTCCTTCCCTTCCCCTCTAAAGATAAATAAATAAAATCTTTTTTAAAAAGGATATAAAAGACATACAAACCCCTACAATGAGAAAGGGTGAGTGCAATAGTGAAGGTGTACATGAGGTGTAGTGGAAACACAGGAGGAGAAAATCCTTTTGAAAGGATAAAATTATTGAGGCCACTATACATTGTTAACCAATTTTAAAAATATACCCCGAAGCACACAGCACAGCTTGACAGTGAGCTTCCTGGAAAATAAAATGGATCTGCACCGACGCTGGACAGTGCTCCAGCTCTAGCTTTACGGTCACTGTATTCCCAACTGCTCTAATGAGAGCCCTAGCTGCTAAAACAAATAGTAGATACTCATAGCTCCAACATTATCTATTTCGATCCCATGGGTTAAAATTTAAAATTGCTCCCAGAGTAAGTGAGCATTTCTTTATTCTGTTTATAAAACAGCATACACAAAAAGTGCAGCAAAAAACTGTGGAATTTGCGTATCCCACCAAGAAGAATGCACAGAAAAATACATTAAATATTTGTTCAAATACTTCAGAGAGGTAAAACTGAGTATTAAGAGACTTTACTTATATTACCTTATTTTCAAATTTGGAATCAAACTACTATAATACATTAATATGTGTTGGGCACTTCATTTTGCTAAGTGCTCTATCTCAAAGAACACCCAAGTAAGCTTATATGAGCATACCAATTAATATGTAAAAAAAGTTTTCAAAATACCTAACTCACTCATACTCATCTAAAAGTAGCATGCTGTACTGATAAGGAAAGCAAACCAAATAGAACACTTTTCAAGGAATGGCAGAAAGGAAGTATATGCTATGAATTACAGATGGAATACATAGTAAAACCAAAGTACCCAGTTACATTTGAAAGTCATAAAGTATTTATACCCCAATCTTCAATGTTCATTAGAATATATGGTGCTCTAAATTAGAACTAATGCTTCAAAATGAGTATTTCAGAAATCACCCACAGAATCACTGCTGCAAAAGTCAAAAAAAGGGTTGGGGATTAGAAAAGAGTAATAACATAAAAGTCAAACACAAATACCCTTAGGCTACGGGGAAGGGGGTTAAAAAGCGTATTACTGAGGCAACTGAGGAAATCTGAATATGCGCTGGAGATCAGACAACAGTGCTGAATCTACGTTAAGTCCCCTGACTCCAACCATGGTTTCGATTAAGACGGACAGGTCTAATATTATGGAATGAAGTGTCATGATGTTTGCAACCAAAATTCATGGTTTAACTTTAAAAAAATATGTATATGCACATATATTACAGAAAGACCAAGTGTGGTAAAATGGTAGTAACTGATGAAACTGGGTAAAGGATATAGAGGCAGTGATTTGCTGCAACTTTTCTGAGAGGTCAATAACAATTACTTGCATGATATTTTAAAAATACACGAATTTAAGAATGTTTTATAGGTATCAGGCTAAATAATAATAAGCCTACAATATAAACTGAACAATGAGTATAACACAATTGAACTAAAGACTATAAATATTAGTCTTTTAAGTTAGTTCATCAAATACGGGGAAATACCCACTTTCATTCATAACACATTAGTAAAAACATGAAAATCACATATGTGATAGTATAAGAAATGTTCTAAGAAACGGTTATATCCCTGAGGGGGGGCAGTTAAAAAATAAGTTTCTAATGACAACTCATCTTTTGGATAACATTTTCAACAAAATATTTAATATTGCACACAGTTCCTTGTACTTTATTCTCTTCCTTCCGGAATGCTTAAGTTCTAAGACTGCCTAATTTCATACCTGATGATTATATATATTTTTTGACTACATATTTATAGGATCCTTGCACTTAAATAACTTAAGGTGTTCAATTACTTCTTAAAAAAAGTAGAGGAAATTTCTTTGAATAATTATATACTATGGTATAAATATGGTGACTTCACTGAAACTTCAAAGTTTAAATATTAAGTGTCAGGAAGCATGGTGTGAGACATTTCAAAACATGCAACCTAACGGATAATTCGTTTCCATTTAGTGGAAACTAATCAAATTTAGTATATAAAAGACTGTTGAAGATTATATATAAATAATGGTGTTATTCAAAGGTTAACATAAGAAAAAGTAAAACAATGAGATCACTAAAACATTTTTTGTAGCCATTTCCTATCCAACTTCTAAAAACAAAAAGTATTACTGGATAACTGTATCTTGTTATTTACTGATGATATAGTCACCTGAGCTACTTGAATCAATTGTGTTCTGAAAGATGAGTATGGAGAGAAACACAAAAGCACTTTAAATTTACTAAGAAAGAGAAATTGAAGAAGAATGTTTAGTTGGAGGTCTGGAAAGATGAAGGTAAAAAAATTCATTTCTATAAAAAAAATCTTAAAACATATTCTATTTAGCTGGATGATACATAATAAGGATTATTAAAAATTGTCAAATTGTTTCTAGTCAATTTTTTAATTTCTTAAAATAATTTTATTATTTATTTTTAGAGAGAAGAGAGGGAGAGGGAGAGAAACATGAATTGGTTGCCTCTCTTATTTCCCCACTGGGGATGTAGGCCATAACTCAGGTACATGAGCTGACTGGGAATTGAACCAGGGACTTTTCAGTCTAAGGAAGGACACCCGACCCACTGAACCATACCAGTCAGGGCTATAATCCATTTTTTAAACACACAAAAACTTAACTGTAATTGCATAGTGAACTAAAGTATACTGGACATTTGTAATAATTTCATATTCATGAAACATGATGAGTTATGTGAGCTCAGAATTCTTTACCATTCATACATGGGGACACAGTTTTAACACCTTGCCCAAGCTGCTAAAGTTACTGGCATGATCACTTTGTAAGATATATAAATGTCTAATCACTATGGTGTACACTGTTAACTAATATGTCAACTGTAACTGAAAAAGGATTTTAAAGATAAAAATTAGGTCTTCCAGTCAAGATGGCGGCATAGGCAGACATGGCTCGCCTCTTAGTACAACATCAAATTTACAATCAAAATACAGAAAAACTGTCACTGAGAACCATCAGAAATGGAGTTGAAAGGAAGTCTGACAACTACTTAATTAAAGAAACCACACATCCATCCAAATTGGTAGGAGGAGTGCAGATGCTGAACAGGCTGGTCCCTCATACACATGATGAATAAAAATTTGGAGGGATAACTTGGGAGCAAGGAGTCCTAGTCCCATACCAGGCCCTCAAACCAGGGTTCCAGTGCCAGAAAAGTAAGTTTCTACAACTTCTGGTTGCAAAAACCAGCGGGGCTGAGTCAATGGAAGAAACTTCTGGAGCCCCAAGCAGTTCCTCTTAAAGAACCCACACACAGAATCACCTATTCAGACTCACCACCTCTGAGCTCCAGCACCAGCGGCCAGAAAGGCACTGGTGTTATACAGGGAGAAACTGAAGTGTCTGGCTGAGCAGAGGCCATGATCTCGTTTCTATACCCACTCCCCCCCCTCAAGACAGCTGGCTGGTACCATATCTGAGACTACATCAACCTGACTAACACTGTTTGACCCACCTGGGAGATCACCAGAGAATGCCTGACCCAACTTACAGGCCCACCCAAGCTGCTTTTCCATATGAATGGCTAGTCTTGGCTCATGCTTCACAACTTCCTAAATCCTATTAAACAAGCAACAGCTGGCCTCAGTGAGCCCAGGATCCAGCACTGGCAGCAGGTAGCTTAAATAATAGCTTGGCTTTGCCTGGGAATTTCCCAGCCCAGCAAAAGTAGCAGCCGTCTCAGATTGCTTTATAGCTCAGGCAGGATGGTCCCAGGCAAAACAGGTGGGAACTGATCTTAGCCTGTACCAACTGGGAAATCCCAGGGCCAGCCTACTCAGTGGACAGCTATAGACCGCGCTGAAGCACTACCACCCTGTCCCCCACCCGCCTCCCCATATGGCTGATCCTCCATGAAAGGCAGAGGCTGGTGGCAAGTGGTCACAGTCTATTCAATTCCTAGAGCTGATTGGCCTGGGTAAATTCCTCCTATTCATCTGCCAACAGCAACCAGGACTCAACTACAAGAGGAGGTTATACTCAGCCACCAAAATGGGACACCAGCAGAGGTGATAGAAGAGGCTATGCCACTGGACCCTACAGGACACCTATTATGTTAGGACACACTAGCAAGACACAGAACCAAAGCAATTCTACCTAATACATAGAAACAAGCACAGGGACAAAACGAGGACACAAAGAAACATGGACCAAATAAAAGAATAAATCAAAACTCTAGAAAAATAGCTAAACGAAATGGAGATAAGCAATTGATCAGATGCAGTGTTCAAAACACTGGTTATAATGATGCTCAAGGAACTTAGTGAAGACTTGAACAACATAAAAAAAGATCCAGAAATGAAGGATACACTAATTGAAATAAAGAAAAATTTACAGGAAAATAACAGTAGAGTAGATGAAGCTTAGAATCAAATCAATGATTTGAAACATTAGGAAGCAAAAAGCAACCAATCAGAACAAGAAAAAAAAAAGAATCCAAAAAAATGAGGATAGTATAAGCAGATCTGGGGCAACTTCAAGAGATCCAACACTCAAATCATAGGGATGCCAAAAGGAGAAGAAGAAGAGCAAGAATTTAGAAATCTATTTGAAAAAATGAGAGAAAACTTTTCTAATTTGGTGAAGGAAAGAGACATGCAAGTCCAGGAAGCACAGAGTCCCAAACGAGATGAATGGAAAGAGGCCCACTCCAAGACACATCATAATTAAAATGCCAAAGGTTCAAGATAAAGAGAGAATCTTATAAGCATCATGAGATAAGAAGTTAGGTACCTACAGGGAAATTCCCACAAGACTATCAGCTGATTTCTCAAAAGAATCTTTGTAAGCTAGAAGGCATTGGCAAGACATTCAAAGTCATGACAAGCAGGGACCTACAGCCAAGATTGTTCTACCCAGCAAAGCTATCATTTAGATCAAAGGGCAGACAAAGAGCTTCCCAGACCCCCCCCCCAAAAAAAAGAAACTAAAGGAGTTCCTCATCACCAAACCATTATTATACAAAATGTTAAAGGGACTTATTTAAGAAAAAGAATGAGATCAAAACTATGAACAATAAAATGGCAAAAAAAAAAAACCCCCACAAATCTATCAACAATTGAATATGAAAACAAACTGAGCAAACAAGAGAACACAGACAGGCCCTGGCTGGTGTAGCTCAGTGGATTGAGCGCGGGCCTGCAAACCAGAGGATCACTGTTTGATTCCCAGTCAGGGCACATGCCTGAGTTGCATGCAAGGTCCCAGCACGGGACCCATGAGAGGCAACCAAACATTGATATTCTCTCCCTCTCTCCTTCCTTTCCCCTCTAAAGATAAATAAATAAAAATCTTTAAAAAAAAAGAGAGAGAACAGAGACAGAATCATGGACACAGAAAGTGTTCTGATGATTGCCAGACTGGGGGGGGGGGGTCTTAGGGGAACTATGAGGAGGTATGGGGATTAAGAAATACGAATAGGTGGTGAGAGTGGCCATGGATATGTAAAGAACAGTATAGGAAATGGAGCAGCCAAAGAACTTACGCACATGACCCTTAGACATGAACGGCGGTGAGGGGGCTGCCTGAGAGAGTACGGCAGTATGCTGGGTGGAGGTGGGGCAAAGGGGGAAAAGTTAGGACAGCTATAACAGCAGAGTCAATAAAATATAATTTAAAAAATAAAAATTTATAATTAAACTATAAAAAATATTTTTAAAACATGTTACCCAAGAAAAACAGCAGAAATAGGAACTCGAAATGAGCTTCAACATGCTTTTAATGACAAACCCTCTCAATCTCATTTATAAACCAATACCTAAATGAAATGATGTAATTAATATAATTAGAACCCTAAGTGCTTTGAAAAGTGTTATTATTACTTTATGTACCAGTTCCAAAAATACTAAAAATGATTATAAATGCCTCCAAACTGCCACTGGAATTGCATAATGTTGAGTGTGAATATTAGCAATGCCACTGAGACATCTGGACTTTATATTCGTTAAAATCTCAAATTGTTTGAAATAAATTCAAAACTCCTACCCAAAGCTTTCTGTGATTATTAAATGAGAAATATACTCAAATCACTTGGCACAGATGTTGGTAACTTGTTAGCACTCAATAACTGAGAGCAATTCTCATCAACTGCTTTAGAATGAATAAACAGGCCCAACATCAGAACTCAGTAACAGATGCAGAGTGTTCAAGTCTGTGGACTGCAACTCTGTCATCCTTCCCTAACACCTCATATATTCTCTCAGTGCTTTTCAATCCAGAATATGGTGAACTAGGAAATAAGAAATTACAGGGTAATTATAGTGCGGTTTCCTGAGTTATCATTTTTTCGCAAAGATTAGGAGTGACAAGGGAAGCTGAATAATTAGATAGTTAAATAAAAAGTTAAATGTTACAACCTTTACATACTTTACATTAATTCAAACACAGATGTAATATGCACTAGATCACAAAACAATGAAGGTAAAAATAACAGATGCTGGAATATTTACATTTGCTCACAGACACTTGTGACTAAGCCCTCAAACACACTGAACTTTAAGAAGTGTTATTAACTATAAGCTAAATTTGACAAGAGATATAAAATTCTACTTTCTAAACACCTATACATTACTAATTCAATTTTTAAATTTTAAGTCATTTTGTAAAATATGAAGTATAAGTATGTCAAATTTTGAATAAGACATAACTGGTATCACAACCCATAAATCAGAAGCATTTTCATAAATGCTCTTTCTTCTAAACAATGTATAAAAATCAATTAATGAATTCTACATGTACTCTACTTACCTCTCTGACATTTATTTTCATGATTTAAAACAGAATTACCTGCATGTTGACTCTTTCAATCACACAAGAAAGGACATGCAGAACATGCATCTTTGTATCACATTCTGTAACTTGCTGCAATAACTGAAAAAGTAGTGTGAACATAGTTTCCAAGTACTGCAGGTTAAAAGGGGAAAAAAAAGGTTTGAAATAGAAATGTGAGATCTTTACATACAGACAAAAGAAATAATGTCAAAGCAAAAAAGACAAAAGACAAAACCTTAGCATTACCTAAACAACTTCAAATTGTTCCAGTTACCAATTTTAGTGGCTTTTTTCTTTATTGCTGCTAAATGTATATGGTTTAAAATTTAACTCACCCACAATGTTTTCGTAAGAAAACTGGGTCTAACATTTTGTGTTTAAATTCTGTACTGCTAAACTGTTAACAGTGCCTTGTCACGCCCTTCCACACTTGCCTGCTGGTGTGCACTGTCTACTCATCAGAGCGACAAGAACGCCAACTACGGCACTCACACACCACTGCCTGATATGGCCCTTATATATGCTGCCTGGAGACACAAATTTTTGTAAATGAATTCTTGTAACTCTAAAAATAACAGGATACCTCTTATTCAGAAATAGAAAACAAATATCCTATGCCTGGCAATTAAAGCCTATATTATAAAAATCATAGCAGTAATTAAGAAATAGCAGACACCAGATACATAAAACAAGTACTTGTTCTTTCAGATATACAGTTCATTTTAATACTAATTTCCTAAACATATTTCTTTCACCCAAAAATATCTAGTAATTCCCTTATTAAAGAAGAATCTCCGACTACAAGTTTGTCCACAATAAATATAGACATTTTATCACATAATTTTCTTTCTTTTCTTTTCTTGCAGGGCCAATATACATATGAGCTATTTATTAATTTTTAAATTAAATTTATTGGGGTGACATTGCTTAATAAAATTATATAGGCTTTGAGTGTAGTTTCCATGATACAACTGTTGTCTTCATCTAGGACTTTCAGTTTTAGACCCAAATATGAGTGAAATCACATGGTTCTCAGCTTTTCCTAACTGATTTATTCACTCAGCGTAATATTCCCAAGGTAATCCTTGTTGTCACAATGGCAGTATTTCATCTTTTCTTATGGCTGAGTAGTATCCCATAGTATAATGTATACTATATCTTCCTTATCCAATCATCTATCAAAGGACACCTGGGTTGTTTCCATGTCTTGGTTCCCATGAACAGTGCTGCAATGAACATAGGGGTGCATAAATCTTTGTGAATAAATGTTTTCAAATTTTTTTGGTAGATACCCAGAAGGTATAATGGAATAAACTGGACCATATGGTAACTCTATTCTTAACTTTTTGAGGAATTGCCATCCTGTTTGTTCTATCAGTTTACATTCCCACCAGCAGTAAGAGATCCTTGTTCTTCACACCCTCTCCAACAGCTGTCATCACTTGTATTACTGATAATAGCCACTCTCACAAGTGTGAGGTGGTGGCCCATTGTAGTTTTGATTTGCATTTCCCTAACAGCTAGTTAAGTTGGGTGTCTTTTCATTTATATGTTGGCCATTTGTATGTCTTCTTGGGAGAAGTGTCTGTTCAGGTCCTCTGCCTGTTCTTTAATGGGACTCTTTGTCTGATGTCAAGTTGTGAGAGTTCTTTATATATTTTGGATATGAACCCCTTGTCAGAGTTGCTGTTTGCAAATGTCATCTCCCATTTGGTTGGCTGACTTTTAGTTTTGTTGGTGGTTTCTTTTGCAGTGTAAAAGCATTTTAGTTTGATATAGTTCCATTCATTTAATTCTGCCTCACTTTCCTCGCATTTGAAGCCAAATTTAATAAAATCTTCTCTAAGACCACCATACATGAGTTTAGTATCTATGTTTTATTCTAAGTAATTCAGTTTCAGAACTTATTAGGTCTTTGATCCATTTTGAATTTTTGTATATGGTGACAAGCTGTATTTAGTTTCATTCTTTTGCATGTGGCTTTGCAATTTTCCCAGCACTATTTATTGAAGAGGCTTTATTTTCCCCATTGCTGCGTTTTTAGCTTCTGTGTCAAAAATTATTTGCCCATATACATGTGGTTTTATTTCTAGGTGCTCAATTCTGTTCCATCAATCTGTGTGTCTGTTTTTCTCCCAATACAATGGTGTTTTGATTATTATTGCTCTGCAGTATACTTTGAAGTCAGATATCTCTGGCTTCATTTTATTTTTCCCCCTCAGGATTCCTTTGGCTATCCAGGGTCTTTTGTGGTTCATACAAATCTGGCAACTTTTTTGTTCTATTCCTTTAAACAATGACATTAAGATTTAGGGATTGCACTAAATCTGTATATTGCTTTGATTAATATGGACATTTCAACTACTGATTCTTCTAATCAACTATCAATTCTTCCAATGCATGATCACGGACTATCTTTCAAATTCATTGTACCTTTTCAATCTATTTTAAAAATGCTTTGTAGTTTTCAGTATATAGGTCCTTTATATTCTTTATTAAGTTTATTTTATTTTAACTTTATTCTTTTGTGGCAACTGCAGAAGAATTGCTTTTTTCATTTCTTTTTCTGAAATTTCATTGTTAGTACATAGGACTGCAGTGGGTTTTTTTGAACGTTGATTTTGTGTCCTGCAACTTAACTGTATTTGTTTATCATTTGTAATAACTTTTTGGTAGTGTCTCTAGGGTTTCCTATATAAAAAACCATGTCATCTGCACCAAGTGACATTCCCGATTCGGATGCCTTTTATTTCTCTCTCTTATCAACTGTTCTGGCAAGGAGTTCCAGAACTATGTGGAGTAAGAGTGGTGAGAGTAGACATCCTTGTCTTGTTCCTAATTTGAGAGGAAAAGCTTTCAGTTTTTCACCAACGTGTATGTTAGCTGAAGGTCTGTCATATATGGCCTCTGTTACTGATGTACTTTCCTTCTATCCCCATCTTGTTGAGTGTTTTAATATAATGCACATTATTTTACTACAGGGTTTTCTTCTCAGAGCAAACACTACTGCCCCATTTTTCTACATTTAACAAGTGCTTATTGATATATTTAACAAGCGCTTTTTGAACATCAATTATGTTAAAACACCATGCTGGGTACTAGAAGGTGAGTGATGAATAAAAAGATGGGTAAGACTTATTATTCTACTTTTCAAGTAATTTTCAATCTATACACAAACAGCAGAGGGGGATAACCTAAGGAGTAGAAGTAAAAGACACATGTGAAATGAAATTACTAGATGTTTTATAACCGAATAAAGAAGAGTTCAGCAGTCAAGCCCAACAGAGATGAAGACACAGCTAAATACATAGAAAAAAAAAAAATCGAGCTGTTTCAAACAAAAATTACCAGTAAAAGTAATTACTTGCAAAATAATCAAATGTAATTTTTAATTCAGCCTTAATAAATAACACACACATATATAATTTCAGTTAAAGAATTGACACTTAATATTCAAAATACATAAGCAGAAACTATCATAAAACATAGAAGTAAATGTTCTTACCGGTAGAAACTGATCCGTTCTAAACTCAAAATCATCAACAGGTAAGGGCAGTCAAGGAGTACTAAGAATATTTAAGATTTATCAGAAAAAAAATATAAAAACCAAATATAATAAGCCAATCAAAAATTACACTTTAAACTACCACATAAAATTAATTTAATAAAATAATAAATAATTTCAAAGTTTTAAAATCCTTTGCAATGAAGTATTTTAAAATTCTTTAAGGATATTTAACTTCAGAGTTGTAGCTGTTTCAATACGGACCTAAAAGAAAGTATATCATGAATTTCGAATCCTTCTAGAGCAACTAACTAAACATCATTAATATCAAATGACAAAAAGTTTATTCCAAATAATTTTCTCCACTTCTTTTGTTAATATTAAAGCCACAGAATACATTAATATCTAGAAATAAAAGGACTCTTCTTACTTAGCAAAGGCTAAAAATAAAAAGTAAAGCATATAGCGTATAAGAACACAGAAGAGCATTTAAAATATGACAAATAAAAGTAGTAACAAAAATTAGCTCTGTACTAAGCTATTTAGAAAGAAAACAAAGTACTTACCACACAGAAACAAAATGAATTTCTCACTGATTCATGAGTAACGAGGAGGAAAGCAGAATTTGAATTTACAGAATGAAGAGTTGGGGAATGTGACCGAAAATGGGTAGGAGAGCGCTTAACACAGTTCCTAAAACACTAGTTAGTTGTTCAATACATAATAAATAAATGCAAGAAAACAAAACAAAAATATCCTCTCTTAACAAGACTGTAAACATGACTTTTCAAAGAACAAATTTAGACCTTATGAAGAAAAATGAAATCCTAAGTATCCAGAACTGGATCCACACTGTGAACTCAACCTATGAGTCTATGCTATACCTCCAGGTGAACGAAACCTCAGGAAACTCCTGAAAAGAGAAAGAAGGGGCTTCCATACTGGGGCAAACAAGTGCCATCAAGATGTCAGAAACTTTGGAAGGATCCTAAGGAAGCATGAGAGCAACAGAGAAATGAACAAGAAGAAACTACAGATCAACATTACTTCCAAAGGTTAAGAGTATTCAGACCCTTCCATGCCCAGCAACAGTGAGAATGAGCCTTGGGGTCAGTGTCAGGATGGCGGATTTGAGGTCTGGACCTGGACTTACCTAATAATACCTGACCACTTCTATAGCCTGCCCCTAGCAGTGAAGGGAACCCCTCGCACTGAAACAGTAAGCATGGTGCTGGGGCCAGAAAGAAACGGCACCGTATCAGGGACTTAAGACCAGCAGGAAAATGTACATAAGGCAGATAAAAGAATACTCTTGGAAGTAAGTTATCTTCTAAAGAGAAATAGAATTAATGACTTCATAAACTTTTATCCCTATGTCCTAATTCTTTCAATAAACATTTTATAAGACTTGACTCTATGCTAGGCAGAAGAAATACTGACATAAATACTATTATTTATATACTGGTACTACTACTACTTGGTACTACTAATAATAGATTTTGTACTTTTCAGTAATAAAGTCAAGATTACTCCATTGCACAATTTGATATGTTTCTTCTGAAATACACATACAAGTAAGTTTCCTAAAAGGATACAAAGCACTTTTAACTTATTTGCCTTCTTTAAGAAAAAAATCCTAAAACTCACTTTCATAAAATATGGATACCAGACATATAATTACAAAAACCAAAACTGACTGTACAAAACTTTCTTAATTAAGGATTCCTTTCTTCGCCTCATATTTTGACAAACACCAATTTTTTTAAATATATTTCCTTTTGTGAAAACATAGACTAGCCCAGAGTTTAAAATCTGCAGCAGTATTTGGAGACACAAGGATAAACAAATGGAAAGACAGAATCAAAACTTGAAGGGAGAAAGATGGATAGACCTGGGAGACGCATAAAGGACAAAGAGGGGAAAGACAGAATATCAATGCACTCTGTAAAATACCTGCCCAGACTCCAGTTGTACCTCGCACAGCGCATCAGAATTCACTGTCATGTACATGCCACTGAAAGTCCCATTAACTGCCTTACCACCTTGAAAATCTTTTTTTTTTCAAGACGGTCATTTCTCTGCTTGATGGACAGCAACAGCAGCACATGCCACCTCCAAACTATAAATTTTCTGGTTCAACCACAGTTTATGTTTTACATAACCTCTCACAAGGCTGAAAGAGTATACTAATGCTAATTTTTTTAGCAGCTTACTGCTTTTTTTATGGAGGGCTGTATAGGTAACCTAAGTAAACTTTTTTAAACATTACTTGTAATTTCCGAAGTTGAAAAATATGATTGGCTATGAACCTTACAAACTAAACAAGCCCTAAAAATACATCAAATGTACTGGTTAAAGAATTATCCGAGCCCTGGCTGGTGTAGCTCAGTGGATTGAGCACAGGCCTGCGAACCAAGGGATCATGGTTCGATTCCTGGTTCAGGGCACATGCCTGGGTTGCAGGCCAGTTCCCAGCAGGGGACCCATGAGAAGCAACTGTACATTGGCATTTCTCCCTCTCTCCTTCCCCTCCCCTCTAAAGATAAATAAATAAAATCTTAAAAAAAAGAAGAAAAATTATCCGAGATCCCAGGGTGGGAGGCAGGATTGGGTGGGGCAAAGGAAAGTGGTAGCAGGAAAATGGAGACAATTGTAGTCAAACAACAATAAAAAATAATTAAGGAAAAAAATTCAAAATAAATAAAACGCCAGCTTAGTGGAAAAAAAAAAAAAAGAAGAATTATGTGAGATCCTAGGAAAAGAAGGTACCTCTAGCCTAAAATTTAGTCAATCTGCTTACACTGTGGAAAATATCATTCTCAAACCTGACACTTGCCATAAGCACTGCATCTGCTAACGAATATGCGCTAAGAGAAACAGAAGACAGCATGAAGTGTTTTCTTAAAATGGGCTTTTCAAGTAAGCATTGTGGCACTGAAAAGAAGATAAAAAATACGAACAGTAAAATGACACAAACTATCAACAACTGAACCTAAAACAAAAACAAAAACGAACTAAGCAAACAACTAAACAGGAACAGAGTCACAGAAATAGAGATCACATGGAGGGTTATCAGCGGGGAGGGGGTGGGGAAGATGGAGGAAAGGTACACAGAACAAGAAGCATAAATGGTAGGTACAAAATAGACAAGGGGAGGTTAAGAATAGTTTGGGAAATGGAGAAGCCAAAGAACTAATATGTACAACCCATGGACATGAACTAAGGTGGGGGAGTGATAGTGGGATGTGGGGTACGGGGCAGAGGGGAATACAGGGAAAAAATGGGACAACTGTAATAGCATAATCAATAAAATATACTTTAAAAAATAAAAATGGAACCTTACTTCACATCATGTTCAAAAATAAATTCTAGCCCTGGCTGGTGTGGCTCAGAGGATTGAGCACAGGCCTGCAAAGCAAAGGGTTGCCAGTTTGATTCCCGATCAGGGCACATCCCGGTCAGGGCACATGCCTGGGTTGCAGGCCAGGTCTCCAGTACTGGGCGTGTGAGAGGCAACCACACATTGGTGTTTTTCTCCTTCTCTTTCTCCCTCCCTTCCCCTCGCTCTACAAATAAATAAAATAAGATCTTTTAAAAATTAAAAAAAATACATTCTAGATGGAATAAAGAACCAGGAGTTTAAGAAATGGAAATATTAAATAAATAAATAAGAAAAAAACAGAAAAAGTAAATCAATAAATCCACACTAAAATTAAAGAGCTCTGCTAAGCCTGGCTGGTATAGCTCAGGTGGTTGGAGCCTAGGCCTGTAAAACAAAAGGTTTCAGGTTAAATTCCCAGTCAGGGCGCATCTGTAGGTTGCAGGTTTAGTCCCCAGTCAGTTGGGTGCATGCAAGAAGCAGTGGATTGATGTTTCTCTCCCTCCCTTCCTCTCTCTAAAAAAAATAAGCATGTCATCAGTAAGGATAAAAATAGTTAATTAATTTTAAAAAGCCTCTGTTTAACAAATCTCTGTTTAACAGAATGTAAGCGGAAAAACAGAGAATCAACTGCATTTGTAATATCTTATTTCAAATATATAGTATTTGAAATATATGTAAAAATTAGTACAATTAAAATATGAAAAACTGGATAGTGAGCATACAGGTGACTTGTAATGTTAGTCACTCAATTTTCTCCTTGCTTGGTTTAATTAACTTTTGAAAAATAAAAATTTTCAAGCCTGCCTTCTTGAAAGAAGTCAGAAATATGCTTAGAAGTAAAAAATTTCAAAGTAGCAATTATAGTAAACCTAATAAAATTTCCCAACCTTTATTTTAAAAGTTTCAAAATATTGCAATATTACATGTTTGTTCATAATGCCAGATCAAGTTTTAGTGCATAAAATTTGGATATTTCACACTAGTAAGTCAAACTGCTAAATACTGAAGAAAATTATATTATTTCAAATAACTAAAAAAATTCACTCTATTTGCATAATGAATAATGTTAACCTTTTAGGCAACTATGAGAGATAGAGATCTACTCTATCCAGTGGCTTCTGATATTATAAAATTTATTGAGTTCTATTTTATTGATTTATTTTTTACTTTAAAAAAATTTATTTATTTATTTATTTATTTAATTTATATAGAGAGACAGGGGAAGGGAAGGATAAAGAGTGAGAGAGAAACATCAGTGTGTGATTGCCCCTCTTGTGTCCCCTACTGGGGTCCTGGCCTGCAACCCAGGCATGTGCCCTGACTGGGAATAGAACCACTGACAATTTGCTTCACAGGCCCGTGCTTAATCCACTGAACCACACCAGCCAGGGTTACTTAATCATATTTTTAAAAAATATGACATGAACCATTTCTCAGTTTGAAGTTTAACATAGGTTATACTTATAAAAAAAACTATTTTAAGATACTTAAACAACATACCACTAAGTCTTGGTCTTGAAGCAAGTTACAAATTGCCTCATATAACATCGGTCTTAAATCAGACTTGAATTTCACAGAAATCCACTGACCGATGAGCCAAATCACCCTGCGTCGTAATGGCTTATACCTAGAACAGAAAAAAACCATAAAATTAAAATATTAAATAATTTAAGAAGTTTATTTCACTTAGCATATTTCATCATTTAAATTAAAATGTAGTATAAAGCAATCTACAATTTTATATAAAAGTTTTAAAGGTACTTCTAAATGTACCGCAGTGTAAAATCCTAACAATAGACTTCTGATCTAAAAAATTAAAATGTCTTAGGCAGATACCCTATAAATCTGATTATTTTGTATGTTTTAATTGATTAGAGAGAAAGATCAATTTGTTGTTCTATTTATTTATATATTCACTGGCTGATTCTTGTATGTGCTGTGACCAGAGATTGAACCTACAACCTTGGCATATGGAGATGACACTCCAGCCAAAGAAGGTACGGGGCTCATTATTTTGTATTAAAGAACTATAACTTAGATATGGACAAAAAAACACAAGTCCATTTCTCTTCCTCAAGCAACCAAAAATAGTATTTTAAACAGGTATAATTAGCTAATGTCCCAAACCCTAAGGATAGTGAGGCCCAAAAACTAATAATAAAGGAACTCCTGTATTAGACTGTCCAATTCCAATTCTGTTAATTTCATAAATATTATTTTTGGAACACTGAAAGATTACTAAGCTTATAGGAAATATCCATATAAATTTAAACTAATTTCAGCTAAACTGGCTAATTTTGTAAGAGGTGACAAACTACAGAATGTGATTCAGGTTATCAGAAATAATTATTTAAATTTCAAACATTCAGTGACATGTACATACACTTCTTTCTATGATTATCTTTGCTAAAGGAAATGACAGTACTTTAGAGAATGAGAAAAACCACAAAGCTATAATCAATTGTGCCTTAAGAATTCCATCCACAAAATCTCTTCTTGATATTATATAAATTTTAGTGGTAAAATGATATTTATTTCTTGGTGTAAATGGAAAAAGCTAATGAATGTTCCACAATTTTAGAAAATTACAATCTTTTAAGATGATCAAGCAAATAGAAAGAATTACTCATCCAAGGTGCAAAATGTAAGTACACCTGTCCTCAAAAAGTTTATCACACACCGAAAAGAATTACAGAATGCAAAGCTCCATATTAAGATTTCAGAAAAGGAAAGAAGAATAGTGGGCAGAGAGAGATGAGATTTGAATAGCCTTTAAAATAAACCGTATTCTGGGCAAAAAAAACAAAAACAAAAATGGGGGAATGCCATTTTAAGAGATGAGGACTGTTTGAACAAAGTCACAGAGATGGAAATAATCAAGACTTTGAAGAGTTAATGAAGGAACTTCAGAACTATCAGTTTTGGACTCAGATCTTCAAAATGACCATATTCACATTCTATTCCAGACAAAAAGAATGAAACTCAGAAAGGTACAATTCCAAGATCACAGTCACTTCTGGGCAGAATTGAGATCAGGGGTCAGTTTGTTCATCAAAGTGTGGGGATCAGCAGCATCATGATCCTGGAAGCGTGATAAAATCACACAAACCGACGCAGACCCCAAACCACAGGCTAAACCAGAGTTTTAACGAGATCATCAGGTGTTTCATATTGAAACATATGACTTCATATTGAAGTCATATCCCATTCATTAAAATCTGAGAAATACCCAGATCAGCTCTGTCCAAAAGACATATAATGCAAGACAACTGGTAATTCTAAAATTTCTAGTATCACATTAAAATAAGTAAAAAGAGGTTAAATTCCAATAGTTTTTACTTATCTCAATATATCCAATATATTATCTTTTCAACATATAATCAATACATACTTTATACGACTAGAGTACTTAAATTTTAGTTAATTTCCTCAGCTGCACTAAGTCCATTTCAAGAACTCAACAGCCACATATACTAGCTACTGTACTGGACAGTGCAGATCTAGACTAAAGAGCCTGTTTTAGGACAATCGAACTGCACACCTGACTCCCTGCTGAAGGCTTTCTCAGTATCAAAGGCTCACTTGCTCCTGGGGGCAGAATCACAATCCACCTTATTCACCACTGGCTCTACAGGAAATGGCAAATTCCAAGTGTCAAACATATTTGTTGACTGAATACATGATTGAATAACTGAATGAATAAATTAATAGCTACTTAACTGATCAAAATTACTTTTAAAGAATCTCCAGATCTCACGAATCCCATTGGTATAAATTTTGTAAAATGGGCATATATTGTTGGCCTTCTATTCATTCACTAATGTAGTCAAGAAATGTTAACTGATCTATGACTATATTCTAGGCATTCTAATAGGAACCACACCTACAGAAATAAATTAACAGAACGGAACATTTCAAAGCAGGAAAAAGTCTCTTGAAAAAAATATTTAATTGCTAATATTAATCTAATAAAAAATTTATAGAAACTATAAAAGATCCTTTCCCTTCAATTTCACTCAGTACCAAAGATTAAAATGAGGCAATACTTCAGTATGTCCAAATGCTTTTGGACACTGTATCTCTACATCCTGCTGTACCCTCCCCCCAAAAGACCTGCAGCATGCTTTGTGTGTTCCATCCTTTCCTGGACGGTACTTTGGTAATGCCACTTCTGCCACCATACATACCCCCTGCTAAGTCTCCAAACAGCTTTTCTGTACACATTTTCTTTCTACAGTTCAGACACCTCCATCTTCTGTAACCTTTGCATAAATTTCATCTTTTCCTATACAAAACTACATTATCTAACATCAAATACTTCATAAATAAAAACGATTCACATTTGAAGTAAAACAACATAATAACAAACTGTTTTGTTTTTCAGTTACATAAAGTTCACAAGCCTTATTCCTTTTCACACTAGACACTATCAGCTAAGTCATAACATGACTCATTGTTTTAAATTTCAAACAATTTTTCTACTTTATCTTCATTAGAAAATCACCATGGTAAATTAAATGTATAATAAACACAAAGTTTTATACTTGCCTATTGTGAATGACTTGTAATTCTGGAAGTAGTTGGTTTTTAAACCACTGATCAAAATCAACACTGTCAAACAGCTCATAAGCTGCCAATCCAACAGCATTATACACTAAGAAGAAGATTTGAGAAAAAAAATTTAATTTCAGATACTGGGCCATATGCTAAGTATATTTAAAAGAATCTGAGTCTTAACGTGATATGTTAACAAACAAAAAGGTAAAATACATTAAATCATAAAAAAAATTAAATACACATTTTAGAACATTGTTATTCTATTGTGTTCTTCCTAAATACTCCTTAGTGCTCTCAAATAGAAAATTACATTCATTTAAAAATACTCAAGTCAAAGTATAAAAATTGTAAGAAAGCATCTGCTTCCAAATGGGTGAAATGTTTTATGATCTGGTCCCTACTTATCCTCTCTCTATTCAACTCTCACAAATCCCTTAACCTCTATGTTTCAATTTAACTAAAATACTCCTAGTTCAATATATAACTGTGCTTGCTCCTTTCCCCTTTTGTACATACTCCTGCTTCTGCCTGGAACCCTCTTGCTACACCGCCCCCCCGCCCCCCAACTTCCACTTGTTCTTATGTTCTCATATTATACCTCTTTGGAGTCTTTCCCCAGGCACACAAAAACTACCTGTGGTTTTCCACGGTGCTACCTGATTATCATCTACTTTAGCATTAATTAACTGATACTATGTTATAATCAATTGTCTTCTTGCTTGGTTTTCTCCCCCACTAGATAGTTCCTGTATTTTAGGTACGCTTATATCCTAAGTCCCAGAATAACACCTGCCACAAAACACATACACTATCTATTGAAGATACAAAGACTTCTAAATCACTTTGGTTTAACATACCAGCATCTTTGATTAATAGTGCATTCATATCTTCCACATTAGTGGGTCCTGAAAAAATAAGTATCAGTAAAAGTAAGTAAAATTAGTTATTAATAAGTATTTAATTTAAACTCAATGTGTTGGCTTTCTGATTCAGTTAAACACAATACATCTCCTGACATTAAATACACATATAGGTGTAAAGGGAAAGTCTAAGCTTTCTCATCACCATTACAGAACACAGGTACAATACGCAAAGTCACTTTACAATTAAAAAAATATCTAGTATATTTGTAAAATGTTCTATCAAGCAACATTCTAGAAAAATATATGCCAAAAAGTGCTAATGATAGTATTATACCCTAATTATAAAATTCTTAAAAGAAAGAAAAAATAATGAAGCCCACAATAACAAAAAGACCAAAAATGGACAATTCACACAATATGCTCTAAACATAAAAAATAAACCACATTATGAAAGTACATTAAAAAGTAACAATGAAATGAAAATTGTAAATGTGAAAACTTTAGAATAAAAAGCTGGAAATCTCTGCACCACTATCTAGAAAGAAGAAAACCATGGTTAGACACGAAAAACAGTTTACTTAAGTACACTTCTTTAGAACAGAAAGATTTCTAGCAAGTTTATCAAAGCATTTTACTGCTGTTAAACATGAACTCTTAAATTCACTAGTCAAATTAGCTAGCGTAAGTACAGTCCTAAATAAGCAAACTGCTCCAGAATTAGAAAGAGAACTAAGCTCTGAAATCACTAAAAATTTTACCAGCATACAGCAACTTATCAAAGTGTAACTTAAATAGCTTATCCACTTTCCTACAGGGATTTAAAAAAAATGGATGGGAGAAAACAGAAATAATGTTCCAAAGTCAACAAAAAGATAACTGAAGCAATATAGATATCACCAAAGTTAAACTCTAAAATCCCACAGTAAGAAATTAGTAACTATTAGAAAGTCAAATATATTTTCATTTTCATATGAAAACACTACTAACACTTAAATTACCTTGAAAACATACCGCAGTAAAACTTGCCTGATAGCTCATTTTCTTCCTTGGTTTATAATTTAAGTAGGAACACTTATTAGTTTCTGGGGAGTTAACAAAAGCCTAAAAAAGTAAGCTATACTCAAACTACTGCACACAAGCTCAGAAATGTCCTTCCCTACAGATCCCTACAGAGATTCTCTTGCTGTTATTTCCTTACCTCACCACCCAGTCAATATTTGATCCCTCCCAATGTGATTCCCAGCCCAAACAATCAAATAATCTATTGTCTCAGGAGATTCTGCTGCCTTCTTTCCTCTTACAGCACTGGACACTTCTGACAATATGCTCTTCTCCAGGATTCACCCTCATTCTACCCTCTTCGAACCTGTGGGATAATTTCTCACCTGGCTTTTTTTTTTGCGGGACATTCACATTCTCATATCCCTAAAAATGAGTCTCAGGTTCTGTCCTTGCATCTCTTTTCTTCTCCCAAGGCTTTTTCTACACACACTCTGAAAGTAAAGTTCTATCTCTAACCACTACTAATAACTGCTTTCCCTGTCACCGAGACTCCCAAATTCAGGATCATTTTGATCACTTTCCCTTGGCCAGCACAGTCAATGAGATGCCAAAAGTCAATCAAGTGAAAAACAGTGACTGCGGGGCTTCCGCCAAGATGGAGGTGTAGGTGGAAGCACTGTGCCTTCTTGCACAACCAAGTTTAAAAACAACAAAGTTTCAGCAACAAAAACACAGCCAAACCACAGAAAATTGAACTATATGAAAGTCTGACAACAACAAACCTTCAGCCAAACCGGTTAGAGGGGCAGAGCCAGCAGCAGAGCAGGGTTGGACAGGAAAGAGCCACCCGAACAACCCAGGTGCTCGACCCAGGTGCGCCAGCAGCCATGGGCAGATCCCACAGGTGTGGAGTAGCCGGCAGACCCACTGAGAGCGCAAGGCAGTGGACTCACTAAGGGCGCAAGGCAGCAGACCCACTGAGGGCTGATCATGGTCACACATTCTTGCACAGATAAACTGGTGAAGGAGTGAGCAGTGAGATGGACCGCGCAGGCCCCAGTGGCAGGAAGCAGCAGAGGGAAAAACCACTGTCCCTCTCTGACCCCGCCCCCACATACAGCATCACAACCCAGCAACCTGGGTGGCCCCACCCAGATGAACAACTAAGGTTCTGCTCCTCATACTTAAGAGGCATAAACAGATCAAAACATGGCTCAAGAACAACTCAGAGCCCCAGAGCTGATAAATCTAAGCCATGAAGAAATAGCCAAACTATCAGATGCACAGTTCAAAACACTGGTGATCAGGATCCTCACAGAACTGGTTGATTTTAGTCACAAATTAGAGGAACATATGAAGGCTAAACTAATGGAAATGAATGGAAATGCACAGGAAACCAATAGTAATGGAAAGGAAACTGGGACTCAAATCAATGGAGTGGACCAGAAGGAAGAAAAAATGACCAAACAGAAAAGGATGAAGAAACAAGAATTCAAAAAAATGAGGAGAGGCTTAGGAACCTTCAGGACGTCTCTAAACGTTCCAAAATCCAAATTATAGGGGTACCAGAAGGGAAAGAGGAACAGCCACGAGTGGAACACTTATTTGAACAAATAATAAAGGAGAACTTCCCCAATCTGGCAAAGGAAATAGACTTCCAGGAAATCCAGGAAGCTCAGAGAGTCCCAAAGAAGTTGGACCCAAGAAGGAACACACCAAGGCACATCATCATTACATTAGCCAGGATTAAAATCAAGGAGAGAATCCTTGAAGCAGCAAGAGAGAAGGGGACAGTCACCTACAAAGGAGTTCCCATCAGACTGTCACCTGATTTCTCAAAAGAGACCTTGCAGGCAAGAAGGGGCTGGAAAGAAGTATTCCAAGTCATGAAATCCAAAGACCTATATCCAAGATTGATCTATGCAGCAAAGTTTTCATTGAGAATGGAAGGGCAGATAAAGTGCTTCTCAGATAAGATCAAATTTAAGGAGTTCATCATCACCAAGCCCTTATTATATGAAATGTTAAAGGGACTTACCTAAGAAAAAGAAGATAAAAAAGATGAACAGAGAAAGGACAGCAAACTCACAGTTATTAAGAACCACACCTAAAACAAAAGCAAACTAAGAGGACAACTAGATCAGGAGAGAACCATAGAAATGAAGATCATATGGAGGGTTAGCAACAGGGGAGTGGGAGGAGGAGAAGGGGGGAGAAGGAACAAAAAATAAGTAGCATTGATGGTAGGTAGAAAATAGAAAAATAGATAGGGTAGAGGGCAAGAATAGTATGGGAAATATAGAATCTAAAGAACTTGAGACATGTGGTCATAAACTAGAGGGGGGGATGGTGGGAGAGGGGTGTGCAGGGTGGAGGGGAACGGAGGGGGGAAATAGAACAACTGTAACGGCATAATTAATAAAATATATTAAAAATTAAATTAAATAATTAGCAGAAAAAAAAATAGTGACTGAGTGTGACAGGCACTGGGAATAATGTATTAACAAAAAAAGATGTGCTCACTGCTCCCTCCCTGGAATTTAGAGCACAGCAGAAAAGCCAAAAAATGATAAATCACTGTTAATAGTTAAATAATTAATTTCTTGTATACAAACTATAATAATCAAGTGGTAAAAATTTCACTTCATCATTCTCTCTTAAACTCATACCTTCTTTCAATTTCCACTGCCACCATTCTGAGGCTAACATTTATTATTTTGTCTGTTATTATGCTTACAACAGCAAAATCTATCATATTCAAGGCCTATATCAAAGCCTTGTTCTTGTGAATTGTTCATTCTTACTCTGTATCCTAAAGGCCACCCCTTCAGAAAAAAAAAAAAACATTTGGTCTTTCTCAAGTTCCTATCTTTATATGAGCTATATAATACTTTAGCATGAATTAACTAGTACTGTTATAATTGATTGTCTGCTTCCTTGGTTATCTCCCCCACCAGATAGTTCCTGTATTTTAGGTACCCTTATAGCCTAACTCCCAGCATAACACCTGCCACAGAACATACACACATAGTAGGCAATGCACATAGTAGGCACTCACAATTTTAATTAAACATTAATAAATAAGTCAAAATATCAAAAAATATACCTCACCTTGAAGTGTTTGCATCATTTCTAGAAGTACAGGAGTAAGAGTCTGATTATATTCATGGAATATATCCATAAATAGTACTTCAGTGCAAGGCTGAAGGGAAAAAAAATTTCTAATAAAAATAATGGCATATAACACTGATTAATTCTACAATAAAGCAAAGAATATTCATTCTTAAGATCCTAAAACTCTGAAAATGTTTCCAATTCTTTTTTTAAGTAGATCGCTATATTTTGTGGTAAATAAAATCAAATTATAATAATTTAGTACAGAATATATTAAAAGTTTATTTCACTATTTCATCATTTTGCATTATGTATTTTTTGAATAAAAACTACACAGAGGAAATAATTTACATTTTTAATTAATAATTCTTTAAATTAAAAAAGCGATCTGGAGCCACATTCATTTATAGATTCAGTACTATTGATGACTGTATAGAAATTAATGTTAAAAGTTTATATCTGCTTAACAGTGACATAAGAAACAACAGCAATTCATGAGTTCAATTAACTACATTGAGTATTTCTTTTAATAGACTCAAACATTAATGGAAGTCACAGTGTTAGCTACATAATAAGAATGATTCATTTTGGATCTTAAAAGTACTGAATCACTAGATGTTTCATAAGACAAAGAAATTATCATTAAGTGTTGAAGGTATTGTGGTTTATGTTTTAAAAGAAATCTTATACACATTTATACACTAAATATGACAAATAAAATAATGTCATCTCAGACCTGTGCTTGAGAATAATCCAAGTGGGGAAGGAGGATGTACTTACATAAAACAAGACTATCCATGAACTGATAAACTAGGCTTTGGATACAGAGGGTTCTTAATACTTTTCTATTTTTTTAATATAAAATTTTCCATAAAAGAAAATTTAAAAAATATTAAAGCAGTAAATTTTTTAAAAATTTTATAATTCTAATGATTTCTCTAATTTATAATCTTCATGGTTTCCTTTATAGGTTTATAAAACTAAAAACACATATTTTTAGAAAAATAGTGGCAAATTATCAAGTTATGTAATACAAGTCTTAATAATAATAGTTCAAAGACCACACTTGATAAATCTTCCTCAAATGTTGGCCATATCAATAAATGTATGTTTAAAAAGCATTTTATAACTAAAAGCAATGGGCTGGTCTCCAAGAATTAACCTAGATGGTAAGAGAAATACAATTACCAACAGAAGCTTTATAATAACTGAAATACTTTGTAAGAAATCAAAAATGATTCTAGCCAAAAGAGACAGGTTTCACTTTCAAAAACGTTTTCTATTGCTGCAATGAAAACTATTTCCACATCAATTTGATTGCAGAATGAAGAAAAATCCAGTTTGCAAACCACTAATTTAATCAAAATTTTATTTCAGATTCAAGTTCATCACTTTATTAAAGTACTTTCACCTCAAATATACATTATTGTAATTATGAATAGCTTCCTGTCTGACTTAATGCTTGGACTCTTGAATACAGTACCATTCTCTCCTAACAGTTATATGAGCATTAAGCTTTTCCCTATCACTTTTTCTGTCAATCAATACTTACCCTCAAACTGTATTTCCAAGAATCTCCTCCTGTTTCTTCCACTGCTGCAATAGAATCAGAGACACAGGAATAAAACACAAACTGACAGTGACCAGAGGGGAATGGAGAAGGGGATAATGGGGGAAAGAAGAGGAAGGGTCAAGTCAAGGATCAAGTGGAAAGGACCCATGGACAAGGACAACATGAGGGGGATTTTAAAAAATGACAAATAATGCTCTCCAGAAATCTAATAATGATGTTTCAAAATTCTCAGTCTAGAAAACAACAGATTTTAAATGAGATCAGTTTAACATTTCTGTGAGTTGTATTAAACATAACACAGAAAGCTTTTCCTTAGGGACACAAGGTCTAACAGATATCTTTACTATAAACTACACATCATACCTGTGTATATTACAATCACCTATCAAGCGCTTTCATCCATAAGCATTCTTAATTTCATTAAAAATTCTGTAGAGAAGAAAGCTCAAAGTACTTGTCGCTTCCAGAATATCTGGTATTACCTCATACAATATCACTACAATCCTCAGAATCATTTCATTCCATAAAATAATCATGTTTTCTGTTGCTACTTTTTTAAATTTATAATTTTAGACAGAGAGAGGAAGGAGGTAGGCGGGGGGGGGAGCAGAGACAGACAGAGAGAGAGAAACATCGCCTTGCTGTTCCCCTTATTTATGCATTCATTGGTTGATTCTTGTATGTGCCCTGATGGGAGAATTGAACCTGCAACCTTGGCATATTGAGATAATGTTAGAATAATTAGTCACATTTTCTATAAATTTCCTACATTTAAAGTAAAATATAATACTTCAAGACTTTTAAAAATCTGGTGATGCAGTGTTTCATGTTACGATATTATGAATTCTGCATGAAGCAATATGAAACATTAATATTTTAGCTAAGAGAAGTCAAAAAACAAAAAGAATGTAGAGTGTAATATTACATATGAAGTCTGTCCAGAAAAAGTCTAGCCATTGTTAATATAACAAGAATGGTCTGCATGATATCCAAGTAACCTGGCAGCCAAGGAGAGTGGACTGGAATGTGCAAGTACGAACAATGACAACCTCAAACTGTACTAGTTAGTTGGGGTGGTAGACGCCCTCCAGTGAGCATATATATGTACTGAGCATCACATTCAAAATGACTGAGCAAGTAGAGCAATGAATCTGCATCAAATTCTGCATTCAGTTTGACCATTCCTCCCTCAGAAACCATACTGATAATTCACAAGGCTGAAGCTATGGGCAACTGGTGATTGGCAGTTTCATTACAATAATGTGCCTGCTCACGTATCACATTTCATGCAGAGTTTTTTGGTGAAACATCAAACCACCCAGGTGACTCAGCCCCCCTACAGCTTAGATTTGGTGCCCTGCATATTCTGGCTTTTTCCCAAACTAAAATCACCTTTGAAAGAAAAGAGATTTCAGCCCATCGATGACATTCAAGAAAATAGCACGGGGGAAATGATGGCAACTGGAGCAACCGTGTGACGTCCCCAAGGTGCCTACTTTGAAGGGGATTGAGGCATCTTTGTCCTGTGTACAATGTTTCTTGTATTTTGCATCTTCTTCAATAAATGTCTCTATTTTTCATATTACACAACTGGATACCTCTGGACAGACCTCATATTTTATAAACCAGAACTGTTTTTAAATGACAAAGGAAGACTTCCAAAATGTTTAAGGCATTCTTCAAATATTAGGAAATGTGTATAACTACACAAAGGCACTCAGCTAAAAAGGCTAAATTTAGCCTATGTCTGATCATAACTGAAGTAATGCACACACAGGCACTTTATTACATACACAATTCTTTGATTTTCTGTAGTGAGGGCCCTGACAGTTTTATTCTGCCTATCTACTACTAAAATTCAAACATAAAATATTTGTTAAAAATATTTTAATCATCAAAAATTAATTATAAATTAAAATTTAAATAGGAAACCCATTCAGCAATTCAAAAATACTCATCTCTAAATTTCTGGAGTAAAAATTTCTACAAATAAAAAATACTATGGAATGAATCACAAAGTAGAAACTGACCTGATAATAGAGATAGGCAACTGATTTTATATTTTTGTTTGAAATTACATGATATATTCATAATAATAACTAAAAACTAAAAAGGTCTCTTTCTGGAGAAAATACCATATATTCGAACAAGTTACTCATTTTCTGTTTCTATATTTGTTCTAATGGCTAACAAAGAATGGATGATAAGCTAATTTTTACAAAGCAAGATTCTCACATTAAAAGCACTACATTAAAAAATAATTTTATACTAGCCCTGGCCAGTGTGGCTCAGTTGGTTGGAGTGTCATCCCCTAACTGAGGGGTTCCAGGTTCAATTCCAGGTCAGGGCACATGTCTAGGTTGCAGGATTCTTTCCCCAGCCCAGATACGTGTGATCCTGACTGAGTCTGGGCAGGTGTGGGAACTAAGTGACCCATGTTTCTGCCTATCCCTTCCTTTCTCTCTAAAAGCAATGAAATAATGTCCTCAGGTGAGGATAAAAGATAAAACAAAACCAAAAATGTTTTATATCTGAAATTCAAATAGATAACATCTATTTATAGAAGAGGAGAAAAGCCATGGGAATACCAAAATACTGATTCTTACTAAAGCCTTCTGGATCTTCTTCCCACATTGTCAGTTCTTCTTCAGTTAATAGAAAATAATGAGAGACTAATCTTCTACAAATCTCTGTCAAAGTGGGGTATGTGAAGAATGCCATCTTAATCTTATGAGCTTCAAGGGTTTCAGGACTGCTATCTAGAAAAACACAATCTCCAAGTTAACAGTACAAACATCCTACTCAAGGTGGATTATGTAACACAAATAAATTTAAAAATATACCCTTGGGGGGAAAAGATACAATGGTAAGTAAATTTTCATTTATTATGAACAAACCAAAGACACTTTTTCTTTTGTTCACACCACACAAACATCAGTCTTGCTTCTTTCTTACCCATAGAGCTTCCATACTACAGAGACTTACTGAAGAGAATTATTTATATATGTTTCTCTCTCTCTCCTAGAAGATTTTCATTCGTTATGGTACACATGCCCATCAATGAATTCCAAATATACAAGCATTTAACTTGTCTAGAAGCAACTTCACTTTATATAAAATCTGAGAAAACTTTTAATTTTACAAATGAATACAGCCTAAACATGAGCTGCAGTGGCTATTGTAGTACTTTAATCTTAAAGTCCTTAGGCCTCCACTGATCCTCTATTGTGTTATAAAAGTCAGTTTACTAAATGTATGGTTTTTAAAAGCTTGCATTTATATAACAAGACTCTAATCCCTATCTCTATTTCATGTTGCAGCGTTTTATTTTTCAGACTCAATTTCAAAAATTTACATAAAAACAGCATTTACTTCATACTTCAATTAAAATAAGAAAATGAAAAAATAAAACCATCTGAAAAGCATTACCTTCAAAATTTTTGGATGGCTTATACGCATAATTTTTGACAATCATCTTAATAAGATTCATGCATTGGACAATGAATCGTTCAAATGTAACCCCTTCACCAACTTCTGTGAATACATAGCTTACAGAAAACTCCAGTGATCTCTGAATTAGTGGAGTAAATGAAAAGGGATGTTGATCCAAGAAGTCCAAAAGCTGTAAAGAAAGAAATTAAAATGTATTTTCCTCAAATAAATATGGGAACATAATCATTCATAAGTACATCTTGCAACTTCACTAGTAAACCTTGGTGAGTCTGTGTATGCACAATTTCACTTGTAATACACATGTAACATATACATAATATACTTAGCACCTGTAAAGTATTCTTACCATTCCCACCTTTTTGCACCAAAACAAAAACAAGAAACAAAAAATCCTGAATGTGATCATCCCTCTACATCTAACTATAAATTTATAAGAAACCTGGGGGAAGAGAAGGGTTATGGAGACAAAGAAACATGGTAAATAACACATCAGGATGCAGCAGACTTCAAAACATGGAAGACTCTACAGAAAATAATTAATTACCTCAACAAATATATATCAATGAAAAACATAAATGGAAGAACTGACACTACTGAATCCTGATTCAAACAATCTATAAAAAAATTCATGAAAGAAATCTGAAAACTGACTAAATATTTAGATAATATTAAGAAGTCACTGTCATTTTTAAATGTAATAACAGTGTTAAGATTGTGTTTTTTTAAATCTCTTACCACTTAAGGACACATTCAAATATTTATAGACAATACTATATAATATCTAAATTGGCTTCAAAATAACCAGCAAAGAGGAGAAACCAGATAGATTAAACAGAAATCACCATGACCATATGGTGATAATTGAAAAGGCTGAAATGATTCAATTCTATTTGGAGGTATATTTGAAATGGTCCAATTTTAAAAGCTTTTTAAAAAGTCAAAGGTCATAAATATGAATTTCATACATTAAAATATTCATGAACACTGCACAGCACCACTGACTCTCCACATTGTCTTATTTTACTTTGTTTTGTGATTTTTGTTATTATCTAAAAGGACCTGAGTCCATTTTACACTGGGTCTTGGAAGATTAGGTAGGCTCTTATCATTGAAGCTATTCGGAATGTACAGCTGGAAATGAACACAAATAAAACTACAGGTCAGTGCTCCCTAACCACAAAAACAAAAACAACTCATTGCTACTCATTTACTCCTCTTCCAGGGAATAAACAGCCTTAATTCTACTAATGAACCTTCAATGAAAATGGGGAAGAGGATAAAGATTTAGATACTGGCTCCCTGTCATCAATTACTTGTTTCATTGCAATGAAACCCTCAAACCCAATCAATCTTCATGACTGCTGTAACCTAATTCTTTAAATTTTTCCCAATCCCAAAATTTCATAAAAATAACTTTATAAAACTTAATTTTATCAGAAATTTATACACTTTGCCTAGCAAGTGCACTCAAATAATTCTATTCAAAAGAAGTTTAATCTGACAATAATCATTCATTATGAATATCATGACTTCCTGATATTATATTGCCTCCTATATTTTAACTACATCCTGCTCCACCACACTGGTATCTTTCTTTATCTCTCTTTCTCTAATACTTACTAGGATAGATTTTCTAACATCAAGGTGATTCATACACTATAACTTATGGTGTATAAATTTAATTATTATAGGCTTTGAAATACAAAGGTGCTTTTTTCTCTAGTTTTCCTATAAACCGAAAATAAATTACACTGTATCAAAATGTATGCTTATTAAAATATCATTTGCCTTACTAAATTTGCACATGTGTATGTTATTTAGGATAACATAATTAATATTAAAGAACTTACCACTTTAGTAAAAAGAATAATGGTCTTTTCCAATCTATCTCTACATACGTTATCTGTACCTATAGTTCTACCTGTTAAAAATAATTTCAAATATTAGTACAAGTTTATAATATTCTATAAATTCACAATGAAGACAATGACAAACTTAAAAACAGTCATCTGTTTTTGGATACTTTGCATTATGAATTCATGGTTGTGCATTCCCAACTCTAAACAAATTAATCATAAAAACAAAGTTTTCACAGAATACCAAGATTTGCATTTAACAGAAACAGTAATCCCCAAGACTAATATTTCACAAAATTAATCCTAAAATATAAACTGAGCACATTTTAAAGTAAAAGGGTAACAATTTTATCCGTGAAACATGAGTCTCATTTTCAAAATCTAAATTAGTCACAGTTGAAATACTTTTCAAGCAGTGTAAGTAAAAACAAAACACTCAAAGATTAACATACTCATTATTTTTCCTTTATCTCTAACAATTTTCTACTGATAATTTCCCTGTCAAAATAATTAATTCTTGTACATTCAGAATAATGTCTATCAGCCCATCAACTACTCTGCTCTCTAATCATACTCTTCATATTCTGCTTCATCATTTATTTCATTCTCCCTCTGTTCCCCCAGGCGATAACCAAAGAAAAATAACAATTTTTAGAAAAATAAACTATGTTCTATGAACTGTCTTATTCACCTTTACATGTACAGTACCCAGAAGAGTGACTGGCAATAGACTCAAGAATGTTTTTATTAAACTGAAAATGACTGCCATGAAACAATCAGTAACTCCCTAAAAGTGAGTACACTAAGATATCTTCTCAGGTTAGTAGGTCCTCAAAAATATACACATATACATAAAAACACAAACTTATACAGGATATACATACCAGCATGTGCATACAGGAGATGCATGTGTGAGTGTATACATGCACATGTGTTTGTGTATCCTAAGCAAAGATGCTCACAATGACAGGGAAAAGGACAACAGACTACCAATACAATACAACACAAATATAAATGCTAAATTCTCTTTTGTGTGGTAGTGGATTACAATGGGTCCTAAAGGTAAGCCAAAGAAGGTTAATAAACAAGAATTAAGGAATTAAGAATTTAAGGAAATTTGGGGGGTGGGCTGGCTAGAAGAGGGCAAAGGGGGAAAAAACTGGGACAACTGTAATAGCATAAACAATAAAACATTAAAAAATAAAAGGAAGGAAATTTTTATCATACAGATATGTAAACTATACTAAAAGCAACAGAATCTAATCTACAAGAAATCGACATATCATGTGCACAGATATGGGGTGGGGTGGTAGGTAGGTCAATGACTATCTGTTAAATATAACTTGTGGATGTCTGCACGGAAAATGGTAGTAGCAGTAGAAATATAGAACAAATGATCACAAAATAAACTTTCTGAAAAAAGGTTCCTCAATATTCAAGACTTGTGCATGAAAACAAAGCTGAGCTTCCAATTTAACTCTAGAGAACTCTCTAGAGGCAAGCTTCTAGAGAGGCAAGCTTTTAGCCTCTCTCGAGATATGCAAGTTTAGAGTAGAAGTTATTAACAAGTAAGGGTTCTACAGTAAAAATACTATCATGAAAGTACTTACTGCATTCCAGAAATTGTTTTAGACGGTCAAATATTCCATGTAAAAAACCCTAGAAAAGAGTATTTTTAAAAAGTGTCTCAACTTATACTGTAATAAATATTTACCTTCTACTTTTCAGTGATACTGAAACATATCTATCAAATCATTTAAAAAAGTTAAAATTAAAATAAAACAATTTACTATTATAAACAAGTCTTACACAAGAAAGTAATTGCACTTAAGTCCCCCTTATCCGCAAGGAATAAGTTCTAAGATCCAATGCCCAGTGGATGCCTAAAACCTTGAAGAATAAAAGCCCTAAATATACTTTATTTCTTCCTAAATATACATACCTATGATAAAGTTTAATTTATGCAAGTTAGGTACAATAAGAGGTTAACAACAATAACTAAAAAATAAAACAATTATAACAAAACACCGTGACGTTATGTAAATGTGGTCTTTCTGTGATTACTGAGTGGCCACCAGTGACTAGTGACAGCCTGTATGGTGAGAACAGGCTGGCCAAAAGGATGAAGTACGTCCCGTGGGGGTGGGGTGGTAGGTAGGGCTGAAGAGAGATGGGGCTCAGGCAGCATAAGATTTCATCACGCAACTCAGACTAGTACGCAATTTAAAAGTTGTGAACTGTTTATTCTGGAAATTTCTACTTAATACATTTGGGCCACAACTGCCTTTGGGTAACTGAAAGCAAAGAAAGTGAAACTAAGGAGGGGGGAGTACTGCACAGCATTTCATCTCTTCAGTGTCTCATTTCAGGTCATTCAGTTCCCTCAATCACTCTGCAGTAAAATATTACTTATTAAGTATATTTCATAAGTACTCCCTATTCTCCTCACTTCTTAACTTTTCTTCATAGTCCTTGTAACTCCCAGACGTATTGTCTATTACCTGTCTCCTCCCACAGGAACGTCAACTCCTTACGATCCAGAGCTTTGCTTTCTTTTATTACTTTACCCCAGAATCCAGGAACAGTATTTAGCAATAGTAAGTTCTCAATATATAAATAAATGGTAGGAATTATTTTAAGCAGAGATTCCAAATCTCAAGTGTTAAAATATATATTAGCCTTCAGATACCAGAAAAGGTAAGCATCATCTTTTACCATATGGGTTCAATAAACCATTACTTTTTTGAATACAGAGTCAGGCAGAAGTCAGTCCTGGTTGTGTGTGGTTGGTAGAATAAGAATATGGGTGTAATAATTTCTCATTTTAACTTGAACGTTTTACCTTAAATGTCATATGGTGTGCTTGAGTGTGATATTGTTATGTTACAGAATTACATGCTTATGATTATGTAATAAAAAGGGGGCATTATTTGTGCCAGACCATGTATATTTTAAAACATACTAAGAAAATTTTCCAGATTAAGTATAAAAGGATAATGAAAAACAGTTTCATTAAGATTTTTAAGAATTTGAAGATTGTAGACATCTCCGTATTAACTTTGGGACAGAAACATCAAAGATGTCACATGTCCTTTTAGCAACGGGATGGTCTAGGTTTTTTCAACAAAGCACTGTGTAATGAACGTCTTCCAGCTAAATGACTAAAATAGATTGTCTTATTTCCCCTTTTCCTTAGAAATATATTGTTTACTAACAGATTCTTTAAAAAGAACTTTTTTATATTGATTGATTCTAGAGAGAGACAAAAAGAGGGCAGGGAGAGAGAGGGAGAGGGAGGGAGGGGAAGGAGAAACATCAATCCACCTATTTATGGATTCATTCATTGGCTGCCTCTTGTATGTGCTCTGACCAAAGATCAAACCCGCAACCTTGGTGTTTTGGGACAATGCTCTAACCAACTGACCTATCCAGACAGGGCCTATTTTCCTTTACATAAAATCAGTGTATCAGTCAGGGTTCTCTAAAGAAAGTAGAAAATTATAAAGGCCATCAATTTTAGTAAGCTTATCAACAGAATCAGGAATTTATAAAATTATAGACAGCACTAATCTGTAATTTAAATAAACTAAGTAACGACTAATGTTACAAAATAATAGAACAGGAATTCAAATTAAAGTTGCTATTAAATGGCAATTTACAAGCAGACTTTGAGTAATTGCTAAACTTATTACAAAAATCATCTCTTAATCCTAAAACATGCAATGAGGTAGATACTATTTCTTTTTTAAAAATTGTATTTTATTGATTATGCTATTACAGTTGTCCCAATTTTTTCCCCTTTGCCCCACTAAACCCAGCTCCCCCACATTCTCCCAGGCAATCCCCACACCATTTCATTGTTCATGTCCATAGGTCATGTGTATAAGTTCTTTTGCTACTACATTTCCTATACTGTGCTTTATATCCCCATGGTTATTCTGTAACTACCTATTTGTATTTCTCAATCACTTCACCTCTTCATCCATTCCCCCACACCTCCCTCCCATCTGGCAACCATCAAAGTGCTCTCCATATTCATGGTTCTGTCTCTGTTCTTCCTCCTTAATTTGTTTTTTAGATTCAATTGTTGACAGATATATATTAAATAGCATTTTATTGTTCATGGTTTTGATATTTTTCTTAAGTCTCTTTAACATTTCATATAATAATGGTTTGTTTTTTCTGTCTGGGAAGCTCTTTATCTGCCCTTGGACTCTAAATGATAGCTTTGCTGGGTAGAGCAATCTTGACTATAGGTCCCTGCTTTTCATGACTTTGACCATTTCTTGCCAATCCCTGCTAGCCTGCAAGTCTTTTGAGAGATCAGTTGACAGTTTTATGGGAACTCCCCTGTAGGTAACTAACTGCTTTTCTCTTGCTGTTTTTAAGAGCCTTTATCTCTTCTAACCTTTGGCATTTTAATTATGATATGTCTAGGAGTGGGCCTCTTCGCATTCATCTTGTTTGAGATTCTCTGTACTTCCTGGACTTGCGTGCCTTTCCTTCACCAAATTAGGAAAGTTTTCTTTCATTATTTTTTCAAATAGATTTGCAATTTCTTGCTCTTTCTCTTCTCCTTCCGGCACCCCTAAGATGTAAATATCGGATGTAGTAAGTTGTCCCACAGGCTGCTTACACTATTCTCATGTTTTTGGATTCTGTTTTTTGTTATTGTTGTTCTGATTGGTTGTTTTCTGCATCCTTATGTTCCAAATCGCAAGTTTGATTCTCAGTTTCACCCACTCCACTGTTGCTTCCCTGTGTATTGTTCCTTATTTCAGTTAGTGTGTGCTTCATTTCTGACTGGATCTTTTTTATGCTCTTGAAGTCCTCACTAAGTTTCTTGAGCATGCTTATAACCTGTATTTTGAACTCTATATCTAATAGATTGCTTATCTCCATTTTGTTTCATTCTTTTTCTGGAATTTGATCTGCTCTTTCAATTGGGCAATGTTTCTTTGTCTCCTTGTTTTGTCAGTCTCCCTGTGGTTGATTCTATGATTTAGCTAGAGCTGCTATGGCTCCATGTCTTGGTAGTGTAGACCAATGTAGTAGGTGTGCTACAGGGAGTAGTAGCAGAGCCCCCCTATCATACAAGCTGGGTATTTGAGATGTACCCTAGTGTGGGCTGAGCAAGCCCTCTTCATGTGGTTGAACCTTGGTTGCTGCCAGCAGATCAATGGGAGGGATTTATCCAGGCCAGTCAGCTGCAAGTACTAGCTATGCCCACTGGCTATCAACCACTGCCCCTTGTGGAGGATCAGCTGTGCAGTGGCAAAGGGTTGGTGATACAATGTGGTCTGTAGCTGTCCACTGGGTCTTCTGGCTCTGGGGTTTTCTGGGTAGTACACACCAAGGTCAGCCCCCACACTGTCTAGCGTCACCATGTATAAGCTATAAAGCAATTTCAGATGACTGTGACTTTTGCTGGGCTTGGAGATTCCCAGGCAAAACCAAGCTGTGAATCTTGGCTGGCTGTTGCTAGTGCTGGGCCTGAGACCACTTAGCTATCGATTGATGGTCTGTGGTTTCACTGAAGCCAGCTAATGATTGTTTGGTTAAGGTTTAGGAAGTTGTGACATATGAACCAAGACCAGCCATTCATAAGGAAAAGTCACTGTTAACAGTTGTCATGTGCTAGCAAGTTAGGTGGGAAGGAGTCTCAGAGGATCTCCAGGGTGGGGGAAACCGTGTTAACCCAGGCGATGGAATCTCAGATATGGCATCCACCTCCAATTCTATTGCTTTGTGTGTGGGGGGGGGGGTTTGGTTCAGAAAAGGGACAATGCCTCTGCCTGCCTTTCTGTCTGGGAGAAAGTTGTTCCCCAGTTCTTGCCTTGATACCAGACACTTCAGTCTCTCCCTGTATGCCACCGGTGCCTTTCAGTCTGCTATCCCATTGCTGGAGCTCAGAGGGAATGAGTCTAAGTAAGTTTGTGGGTGGGTTCTTTAAGAGTTACTGCTTGGGATTCCAGAATTTTCTTCCACCACTCAATATCCACTCGTTTTTGCAGCCAGGAGTTATGGGGACTTATTTTCCTGGCACTGGAACCCTAGGCTGGGGTGCCTGGCATGCAGCTGGAACTCCTCACTTCTGAGATTTCCCTCTCGAATTTTAATCCACCACATGTGGGTGTGGGACCAGCCCATTCCACATCTCCACCCCTCCTACCAATCTGGATAGATGTGGTTTCTTTACCACATAGTTGTCAGACTTCCATTCAACTCGATTTCTGTCAGTTCTGGATGACAGCTATTCTATGTTTTAGTTGTAATCTGATGTGGTTGTGTGTGGAGGTGAGCCATGTTTGCCTATGCTGCCATCTTGACCAGAAGTACAGGTACTATTATTTTATCTCCATGTTACAAAAAAGGAAACAGTATGGCGAAAGTAACAGCCAGTGGCCATGCTATTAAGAAAAGTCCAAGGGGATTTGTGGTGTCTGCTCTGGTTTAGTGGTTGTGCCCCAGGGTTTTGGAAAAAAGGGAAGTTACCTGAAACTCCGCAGACCGTTCCTCCTCATCTCAAGACATGCTTGAGGAGCAGTATGAAGAAAGGCTGAACTAAGCAAAATAAAGACAGGTGTAATACATGTCTGGACACCAGTGCTGCTGGTTCTTGAGCTTTTGGACTCATGTCTGGACTTAACGCCTTCAGC